TCTCTATCTCATCACAATTTCATTATTATTGTGTGGCGCCTATGTATTTGTTGCCTTTTTGTACCAATGTTTATGTGTTCAAATAAACATTCGAGCCGTAACTACTTCAGATTCAAATTCGAACATATTTGCAATCACAGAAATTTTATTTAGCAGCATGATGATTCGTGTAACCGTTCTGTCGCTGGAAGTGCTCAAGAATGCAACGTTTTGCCAACTTTCCATTCGTGATTTCCAGTTCCATCGCAATCAGAAACCACATGTTGGTTTTGTATGCTGTAGAAGTGGTTGGAAATCTGTTAGGAGAAATCCAAGTCATCTCCAAAGAAGGTGAGTATGACAATTTTAATAGGCCGTTTCATCTAGAACTTCATCAAAGCATACTTGTCCAGAATGTCTTTTCCAAGAAAACAGATGAATGCTGAACTGTAATTCTTGGAAACGTGCACGACAACCGTGAATGCAGTCCATTGGCTTGTCACAATAGATCATGGATGAGGAATCCAGGAGAATCAGAGTTCGGATCCCTCAGGTCAATACTAATCGGATTCACTGCTGCATTTAACATGGTGCATTATGTATACACCTCAGTTGATGAATAAAATCAAGTTATAAAAAGCTCAGAATTTCTATAATCTCCCTCGGAGGATGACATGAGTATAAATTGAACGGAGAAAATTAGCTGCAGTATATCTTGAACGGAGGATTAAGGGAACTTCATGGATCGTTATCTTGTTGTTGGTTTGGATAAAACTTATAAAACCAAAAATAAGAATTTTCTTTATCGAAATTTCGCAATTGACGTGAATTTAACTACATGTCAAACACAATTTGTGAAACAAGATTGTTATCATCAGATCTAGCATCTAATACTGAACCTACTATTACAGTTTAGCCATCTACCAACACTCCTGAAGAAGACGAGGTGTTAAGTAACGAAGATACACACGACCGACATCATCACAACCCTCCAATAAACGTCAATTTGAATGCTAATCCAGTACTCCAAAAAGAGGAGGACTTCATTCCATCTCTTCCATCAAAATTATTGGATTTGCCCCTATGTGTACGGTTTCAGTTGTTCGTCTCTGTTTGTATGACTCATTTTTCTGGTTACCATATTTTAAGCGAGTTAGTTTTCTGCGGGATGGGGTCTCTAACCCCATGACCGACCCCACACCTTTACCCGTACTTGGGACTAGCAGTTACTCTAGAAGAGCTACGGGAGGAAATATCTTTGTATGAACTAAAACAATTTTGGGGAATTATGGTGCCAGTGAAATCAATTGTACGACCAGATTCTATTGAGTGTAATGCTATCGCTGACTTGTTTTCAAGTTTTTCTCAAGCTTTTTGAGGATTTATGTATGCACTTCAAGCCAAGTTCGTGTTCCTTCACCTTCATATTCAACTGCTGTGATGTCTCTACATATATATATCAATACAGTCATTACATTTAATCTCATATACACAATTTTGATGTTCCTTCTTTGGTATTGAAGTCTGTGACTCTTGCTAGTTTACAGTATGGTTTGTTCAAAAGAATACGTTCAAATTGTGATCCTTCTGAAATTCTTCACGATATGGGAACACCACCGTGTTAACCCATTCTTCCGGTTTATGTTTCTTCGCATCCCTATTTCTTAATTATTCTTTATAGAGCCTCTAAGATAATCATTCATCGTTAATATGGACATAATGAGATTCGTTTCAGTTTCTTTGTCACTTGGTTCAGTGACGAGTTTTCAAACTCTGTTAATCAAACTCTTGACAACTGTCCCTTTAGTAGAATGACCATGTGCTGACTTCTAATCGAAATATTTCGCAGAATATGTTGGCCTTCGGAACAAATTGATTTTTAAACAACTATTTATAATATATGGATTATCGCATGAACTAGGAATCCCAGAATTAACGCAACTGAATCAAGAACTACGACACAAGCACAAACGAATGTATTGTATTTAGAATTCGAAATCAAGCATTCAAAAAGTACAAAGGTATCATTAGTTCATTCAAACACCACACTATTACATTTCTTTTCAACCAAACGTCCCAGGTCATTTTAGGTCGACGGATCCCATCTCTTTGGTAAGTGTGATACTGTCAGACATAATGTTGACGTCTAAAGAAAGTTCGTCTTCTAATGACAAACGTGTTGTCTATGTACCCCAGTGAGATTTTCGTGCATGGGGACACTGAGACAACACTTGTTTCCAACATGTATAAATACGTTAGCGACAATAGAGAAAATCGATTATCCTGTAGCCACACCTGCTTGTCTGTTTAAATCTCCTCGAAAGCTGATTAAGGTGGAATATAAGCATGGACTCATAGCTTTAGTATTATTTCAGGGATCTAATTAGCATCGTTGCCTAATTCAATGCCAGAATCTAAGTGATTATATACAACATCCAAAACCTTAATACGAACATTAGTGAACAAAGAGCAAGTGAATTTAAAGACATCATTACTACAGTCCATATGGAAGATTAATTGATGGCGAATTTCCATATTTGTCCTTTGTTTATTAATGTTTCTAATAAAAACGATTTGGATACTGCATATTATAATATTTGTGTGAAATTAAATAGTTAAAACGATGAGCTGTACACCGTAATCGTTCACAAAATTAGCCTTCCTTACGAAATCTGTTCTAACCACAGTATAAAATAGATTAAGTTGGTCTGCCAAATCATTCGTATTTTCTAGCAAGCAGTAACAGAGTGATAAGTCACTGGTCAAGAAGATAATGATTATTTCATTTGTTTTAAAATTGACATTATCACATATACTATGATAATATTCCTTATCGAGGAATGAAAAATAAATATGCCTTAACGCAAATATGCAAGAGGCCTTGATGGCGAAGTTGAACGCATTGGTTAGTTTTTACTCACGGATTATTCACAACACTGTTCATACTGCACATGTTTATGCGTAAGCAGTAATAGTCTCCTACTGAAGGACAATTATATATTTTTGTCATTGTCACATAGTATAATTAGTCAGGTGAAAGTACAGTTCAAACGGTTTCTCCTATTTAAAGAATATTGGCTCGCATTATGTGATTGTGACAGAAACACAGTTAACGGCAAATTATACTGGTTCCTCTAAAGTTGCTATGTCATTTCACATTTTATACTAACCATAATTTTCTACTTCTACACTATTAGTATATTGATGGATATCGAACCTTTTACTACACTTTTCCTATATTACATAATGTGGTTAAAATATTTGGTTAATATAGAGTGATCAAATTGACGATGTGACTAATTCATTGTGTATTGATGTAAAGTGACCTAAGTAAATAAATTAGTAAGCACTAGGGAAACGATTTCCAGGAAATTTTGGACGGAATGATTTCCAAATCATGAAAATTCCACATCCAATCAAAACTAAATCCTTCACATGGATTTCCACAAATCAGATGTCATGAATAAAGGATTTACAATCAATTAAATAACTATTTTAGTGGGAAGAAAGCGACCATGAAGAAACCAAACACTTATTTCAATAACTTTAAAACCAATTACTATTTGTTTAATATTTATGGTCATTTGATCAAAATTTATCCTTAGAGGTACTGATAAAAACTGCAATCAATTTCAATGTTGGCCAAAAATCATAAAGAGTTGAAAATGTTATTTTGATTTATCATCCCATCATATGAATGACTTCCTAAGAATACTTCGAAATCCTCATAAATGTGCACCTAGATATTATTATCCATATACGTCTTTCTCGGTGACTGTTAAATTTTGGGCTGTTTTTTATTATAAACTATTACCATTGTGCACAAGGTGACTAGCAACTAGTCAGTCAATAATAAATCTTGAGACTACGTTAATTGATAAGCTTGCCATTTTTCGCTAACGTAGGTAATGCTTTTCAAATCAATAAACAATTTTGTCCAATAAATAAGCGAACTGAGCCAAATACGTGTTAGTGACACTAAGTAAAGTCTCATAAGAAACTCACGAAGCATTGAGGGGTATTTATGTGGAAAACACCTCATTCCAAGTGCATATCTCAAAAACTTTATACTCTGTACATATATATCGGTAACCTAAATTTTGTTTAGATGATCTGTTACTTTCTTGCTAATAATGAGATCGTCTGAGTGATTATTTCCTAAATCATTTATATTTGAATAGCAGTCCCGTGTTCTTATTACTCAATTACAGTTTTTAAATCCTTGTGTTCGGTGATGCTTTTTACTCAACACATGGGATCTGTTCCCAAGTCATACATTATATACCTAAATTTCGGATTAAACTGCCGATTAATATAGATTTTTGTGGGTTCCTGATACATTTGAATATCTTTACAACCATTGGTTAATATAAAGACTTGTGTAATCCATGGCATAATTTGTGAATGATCGCCAAACCCTTGGATTTTGTTATCTTCGTGTAATGTAGTGGGCGGACCACGAGCCTCAGTGAAAAGGCTACAAGCACTTAAATGGAGATCTATGTAGCTGACGAAAACCATAGGGCATAATGCAAATTGTGTTTTGGTTTTCATGGTTCATATTTAGTATTGATCATGATATATTCAACATATGTGAACGTACTCAGTTACACATCACTAACTACAAAAATATTAAACTTATTTACAAAACATATCAGTTGGGATAATGTGAAAAGTAAACTGCTAGACTGCAACAATTATACTACAGTTATTACGAACTTCTTCCAAATAGTAAGACTACGACTGTTAGGTCTAATCCCTGAAGCCCTGGTCACATGTAAAAAACAAGTCCAAATACAGTTGGGAAATTGTGATAGGACACAATGGATGAATCTGAATACCTTAGTTCTATACAAATAGTTACTACTGACCCAGTGTAATAAAACAGAATTATATGTTAACAGGTTGACAAGTTTCAATATCAAGTTGGAAATCGTCATCACTGTCATGTTATCGGTATTATTATTATTATTATTGAATTTTGGAAAGTGTCTCGTTCAAGTGTCTAATAACTTTAAGATACAATTAATTAAATGTTTTATTTGTTGCGTAAAAATATAGAAGTCAATAAAACTGTTTAAAAGGATTACTATTTTTTCCTTTAAAATAATGTACATAATCTTTTAAACACTGTTGTATATATACAAATGGTAAACAGAAGAATATGTAAGATAAAACAGTAGACATATTATTAAACTTTTACAACATATTTATTTACTTTTTTGATTATATTTATTTTACGATTACAAATTCCTCTCCATTCACATTAATTTCTTCAAAGATAGTATCCTGGTCTTCTATTATATCCTCCCTATCTCCATTATCAGCATTCACAATATCGCTGTCATCAGCTTTAATTATTTTGGAATTAGATAACGATTGCTTTTCTGAAGGACAATTAGTACTACTGTTGTGGTGTGGTTTCTTATGTTCATCAACTAATCGTTGTTTAGTTGCAGTCGGACATTGAGTTAACACTTCCATAGAATGAATTAATGGACCTAAACAATCAGCAATACCATCTTCCATCAGATGAGCTTGAATTAGAGCAATGAGTAGACCAGGTGTAATAAATGCTGGAGTCGGTGGAAGTGGATTTAGCGTCATTGCTAAGGGTAATTGATCACTACCAACACCAGAGTTCTCAGGGTAAAGCATATCAATCGCTTTTCGTTGTTTAATATGATAGAATGCTATACGAAGTCGGAGATTTCGACGAATATCTGATACGAGAATGGCAAATTCTCTTGGTGTAAGACAACGTAATAAACAGTCTAGTGGTGAACACCATTGTGTTATGAAATTCTGCTGGTGATTCTTATCTGCTTGCTGTAGTAGCTGTTCCCTTGGAGAACGATCACTTACAAACGATTTTTTATTCGTTTGTTCCTGTTGCTGTTCTCGTTGTTGTATTTTCTCTAGGCAGTCTTGCAGACAGCATACCTCCATAAGGCAAAACAATAATTTACTTGTGAATTTAAATATAGTTGAATTAGTATCCAGTCTACGATAAGCATAATCTACGGTGATCTGTAAAATATGCATACGAGAAAATACAATGTCATGAATCTGAGTATCAATAATATTGTCGACCAAATGAATGTAACTCATTTAAGTAAAAGGCTATTGCAAACCGGGTGTTGAGTTACAACTTTATTTATTTATGAGGGCCAGTGATACAACTCGACTATTTAAATCGAAGTAAGTGGAGTACAGTTCACATTTGTGAATTAAGGTCGGGTACTCGAACTATGAGTCTACCGGTACTTATCACTGAATACATTTTTATATTTAATACTGATTGTAATAACAATAAAGGGATAGTGTTAAAGATTAACGCAAACAGATTAAAATGACTGAGTCAGTCAATTTATAACAACTAAAGTAAGGCAGTACGACAGAGTGCAACAAAGATGCAGGTCTTGATAAGATTTTAAACGACGGCTTACACTTAATAGACCTTACCGTATTATCATAGGCTGTTATGTTGAATTGTCACAACCCAGATTTTCACCCGGAAGTAAAACTCACCACCACTCAGAATGTATACAAACTCCAGTCTACCAACTCAGTGTACGACTCTTAACTTTACTATGTTAAAATAAGACAACGATAAGATGTCTTTGTGTACGATTATTTCGATATTCATTCGTCGGCTTGAGATTTTTTTGCATAAATAGTCCAAATATACATGGAGATGAGAAAAGAGTACGAAGATAAAGTGTATGTGGAACTAAAAAGTCGTAGATCCCCTAAATATCAATCAAGTATCAAAAAACTGTGAGGCCGTATATTTTTCGTTACTGTTGTTAATGTCTAGTTTCTTTTCTACTAAAAAGTACTAGAAAATCCCAATGTTGATACAGAACATACACGGCGCCGTTATTTAGTAAAAAATGAGAGTTCAGATGTGAAAACGCACAGAATCTTGATTCGTTCTGAAGTAAACTGAATTAGAAACTTATTCTCTGAGGAAAAAACTTAAACTACGCCACGAAATATTAGGAAATTAATTTTCTTTTCGTTGAAATATTACAAATATATTGCTACTTTCCTTACGACAGTTAAACCAGTTCTTTTCATCTTCTTCAAAGTAAACTCTCAATTAAATCAAGAACCAATCAACATCGAGGTCTACAGGACAAGATGTGAACCAAATGTAGAGAAATTCAAACACTTCGCTTCTATCTGAAGTTTGTGCTGATGATTTTGTTCAGGTGGACGATGAAAGCTCCACGACCAAACCATCTAGATCGGAGAGCAAAACTCCATCAGAGTCATCCACCTGAGCTACAAATATTCTCCACCATCTCTTAACCGTAACATGTCAGTTTTTTAAATGTTGGATAGTCAAGTACGAACTTTTATATAATAGGTGTTATTTTTGAGTCACTGTATGATTTCGCACTATTTACCAGATGCATTATTAATTTACTGAGTGAGAATATTCGCACAGACAATATAACGAGAGTTGTTTACACACACAAATACAACTATCCTACCAGGTATAGTTACATATAAAAACAGGAAAAAAAAGTAATTTACATGTTGAAACAAGCACAGACAAGAATAAGAATGAATACACTTTATAAAAATAGCTTACTTTACGAGCATGTGTATTACAAACATCAGATGCTCCAAGCACTGGAAATGCTTGCTCCACATAGGTGCCATTATCCATTTTTGTTAAACATTTTATTCCCATTGGTATTGAAATTCTAGGTGCAAGAGGTGAAGCCCATACAGCTTCCAAACCCATTAGAAGACCTAACACAATTTTCGGTGTTGATAATAATGACATAGGATCTAAAAAGTTTAGAACTAAAAAAAGAAATAAAGTTTATTGAAAAGTCGAACTAAAAAGATATAGAGCATAATGACATACGAAATAGATCACAATATATATTTTGTAACTTATAGAACAAGTTTATATACTCGGAGTTTAGCCATATAATGTAGTTGGATCGTCCAAAACGAAGTATGAAGGTGGGAGTTAGAACTTGTGAATTAGTATTTACAATTCAATTGGTTTAACCGCAAAGCGAAATAGAAGTAACACATTCCGTAAAGTAAAACAAAATACGAGATAAGTGAAGATCAATATAAATATATGGAACTAAGTTTGTCATCCATTATCACTAACAAATAGGCTATACCTGGAGATCTATAGAAACGGATACACAATTTACATATTTGAATTCACGTTAGAAGTGTTTTTAATGAACGATAATAGTCAAAAATGACATGTATTAATTGAAACTCAGTTCCAGTGGTCAAATTCGTTATACGGACAGTAATGCATATGTTTAACATTTCTAGTCACTATCGACTAAAATGAGCTATGCTGGTTAGTAAGAAAGGAATTTCATCCTAGAAGTCATTGATCCTTGATCTAGGCCATGTAGGTAGGTGAACAGTATCTGATTAGGGTCAGCCAGATATATGTAGGTGACATAGTTTAACATTTGCATTATAAATGCATTTATTGTTTACTTTTTTAAAATCATAAGTAAAGTATTAACAGCTACTCAACATTTTTCCCTACAAATATCAGTAATTTTCAACTGTCTTCAGGATCTGATCAGGAGTCTAAGGTTAGTTCATACCAATCACTACAAAAATTCAAGGGTTTATATCATATCCTATTACGATTATTGTGAGTATTGTAGCAAATCTAGCACATTAGGACTATAGTTAATTATGGGAAATTCAGCCTATGTTTTAATAAAAAAAACCCATTTTCAATGAGATAAATAAAACGAACTGGTAACAAATAACTCAACACTGAACAACGAGAGACAACTATTGAGAACATACCAGAAGATTCTGTGAAATACGATGCATACACAGGTAAAGGATGATATAACGGAGGTAATCCGTAAGTTTTCAAATTCATTTTGCTCAAAACAACTGACAATTCTAAAACACCTTGTGAAGGAAGTTGAACTAATTTATTTCGAGGATGGATTGATAATTTGCCATTATTACTGCTACTAGCATTAGCCAATACAGTACTCAAGTTGTTGTTACCAGACATAAGTTGTTTCACTTCAGGACAAAAAAATGAGAGTATGCTTAGAACACGTTCTAAACTGATACCACTTGGAGGTAATACAAAATTCAATGACGGATACGATAAAGTTGTAATTGATGTTTGAGGTAAATGAATACCAGCGCCCTGAATAACAACATCTTCCAAACCAGAAATTAACTGGTGATTATTTACAAGATTTATCTGTTGTAATTGTAAATCAAAACAATTACTAAATTGATAGGTAGTAGAGATTCCATTAGAACAAATTGAAGGATTTCGAAACTCGACATTGCATAAATGATAAAGATGTCTATCATCAATGATGATGAAACGAATAAAATTTAACCAGTGTAACCAACCAGAGAGCTGATAGCCTGTATGGTATAGTGAAATAAAAATAACAATGGGAATAATTTAGGTATTTCAATTATTATACTGAAAATAACTGTATATCTTCTGTTTACTCCATAGAGAAAACAAACTAGGATAAGATTATATTGTTTTTGTTGGGGTGATTCGGAAGACTTGTCGCGAAAGCCAAGAAAGGTTCAGGAAAACACTAAGAAGCATTTTATCTAATCAGTGCTCACTTGAAGTTTAGCCAGAAACATCATGAAAGTGAAAAGTCACATGTAGAATTATTGATTGGATGATTACTTATACTGCTACTATGTTTAGTAGCATTCCAGAATTTTCGGGAAACCCAAGGACATCTAAAATACTATAAAAACCTATATTTTCTGTACTAAGACGAACCTTTGGAGTAAAGTGCTTCTCGCGTATTTTGCGCCTTTTCTCGTGTTCGTGTCGCCGTGCAGTTTCTAGCTTGGAGGTTACGAGAATAGCTTAGGAACCGAATATAGCGTTCAATTAGCAAGACTTATCAGTTTTGGGTTTGGAAATTTACATTAATAAAATACTTTTAATTATTGAGTAACCTATTCGAGCTCATTTCATTCACATTCCTAATAGTAGATTTTACTTCTCATTGAAATGATTGAGACTTGTAGCTTATTTATATGGTTTAATTAAAAATGTTTCATTGGACATAATTTGTGCTTGTTTCAAATTAAAAAAAAAACAACTTTATAACCCAACCACCACTCAGACCATACAACAAAATAACACCAAAATAGTTTATTGATAGATATTGAGAACAATTGATTAGAATAAAACATCGGCTATGTTAAAATAATGTTCTTTATGATTAAATATTATAGATTTTTCTGGATTTTGTTGAGTGGATTTTATTTTATTCAGCATTCATTAGCTGAATATATATTCGCATTCTAATAAGCATTTATTTCGTAGCGTAAACTCAACTACATTAACTTGTCTCATCGTTTAAACGTGAATCTCTTTTTTTACACAGATGATAGGTTATTGGTGTTTTTGAAGTGTCCAAAAAAGCATATCGAATTAATTCAGTCGAATGAAAATTAACAACGGAAAAGTGTAAATAATGAGAGCAATGTTTATCGTCTTTAATGAATATTCGTGCTAAATTGTGAACTGACTAAAATCGGATATGTAAAGCACTGTAATCAACTTAGCAGATTAATGGTATCGCGTTCCCTAACAAATATGAAGATCCTAATTGCAAACGAGAATAGGAGAGTTACTCAGTCAATCATAGACATCAGACCTAGTACGAATATGTATTCGTTCAGGTTGCCATATTACATATCAGTACAATCAAAGAAGACAATAACAACGTAAAGAGTAAATGAGAAAAGATAAAGATCAAGTACGTGTAGAAAAATAGTTGGTGTTTCAAGCTAGGTCAAAACAGTTGTCCGATGTGCTTTCTAATTTTTAGCACTTCTCTAGCTGACGCCAACAATCGTTGTAACGTACGATTTGAAGATAACTAACAACACAACACCTTACTCTTAAGTAAATTTTGAAAAAAATCCCAGTTACTTTATTATTAAAGTGACTACATTTCTTGAAAATAAACACTTTTTTATAGTAACGATTATGAAATGGAAGATATTAAGACTTTTTCACGTTGTAGATTATGTTACTGTTTTATCGGCTACAATCTGAGCAAACGGATGGTATGAATACATGCTACAGTAATAAGCAAGATTGACAGGACCCCTCCCCATGTCCGAATATGATTGAGTAGATAAAGATTATGCAGTCTCTCCAAGAAAAATTATAGTTAGTCCCGAAGAAGAAAAAGTATCTAGACCTGTACGTATAAAAATGGATAGGGATTTTCTGACTTCCAACTAATGATCCTTAGAGAACGAAAAACGTTACCTGGTCAGTAACTGCCATCTGAATTCTAATGTATAAGCCATTTCAATGAAAGGTTATGTGAGATATCCCCTTAACTCAACCAAATCCTGAAGACTACCACAATCCTGTCTTCATTCTTAAAAATTGTTATTTATGTGAGGACCGAGATATAACTCGATTCTGAACCGAAACTAGTTGTTTCTGTAGGCCTACTACCTCGAATATCTCACATGAAGAGTAAGTCACCAGGATATAAGCCAATTTCGTATGCACTGACGGGATATCCTATGACCAGAGCGGATTCGTAAGTCATACGTTCCTTCAGACCCTTTTAGCCGATATGCACTATTGGCTTGGAATCAGAGTTATTCAACCCCCCCCCCAATTTTCTGTATTTACAAACCAGGTTTAAGTAATAGACGTTTCCCTTTACTCTCTTACTTTTATAGAAGCACTCCTTCTACAATGTATTATTATTCAACGCTGGAAAAAGAAGATACGAAGTTATTACATGACATGGAGATGTGAAATGAAAGGTAATTGTACAGGAATGATATCTGTTGGTCAATTCACTTATCCTCCGGTGGAATCCTAAATGTTATACAATTCAGTGGTTTGACATAACATCAGATATAGCCTAGAAAAGAAGCCAGGAGTGATACTGCTGTAGTTTCTTACTAAATTTACCATAAAATTAAAATAAAACGTTTAAGATGAATGGAACTTATCTTGGATACACTTTTTAGGTGGACTGTATGTTCTTTATGGTGCCATATGTACTAAAAACGTTTGTATACTATTTGGGAAAATCACAATTCAAGTAAAAACTATGACAAGACATACAAAGATGCATATCCTTTATCTATTTACAAGAGTGAATAAATAATTTAGTAACAAGAAAATATAAAATAACACTTACTTGTTGTATATAATTCATCATTATTACTCATGATCAGCATTTTATTTTCAGTAGAATGATAACCAAGTCCAAGTGAACTCTCACCTGGACCTCGACGAGTCAGTATCCGTGTACTGCTAAACTCTTTCCGAGTAACAGTATTATTATTATTAATTCTAGGTTTCAATTGACCACGAATCAGATCATTCTGATCATCAAATAAATGACCAATTTTCTTTGGTGGATTATTGGTTAACACCATTGAGTTATCATTACAGAACTGTGATGATATTTGTGCATTATTCCTTCGCGTATTGATAAAACAATTTGATGGTAAATATGAAAGATTTGAATCGAATAGATCACCACTGAAATAATCCATTGTAGGTATATTATTTTTCAATAAATCATCCATGTACGGATTTAAACGACTAGACTAATTAAGGTTGCAAAGAAAAAGAATAAAATGGACGAATCTTTGAGAGAGGGATAAAAACGAATTCAACGTTATATTTGAAATGCACGAAGAACACATACATTTCAAAGAGTTGTATAAAAGTGTTAGAAGTCATCTGTGACTCCCTGTAAGTTACTGGAGGCCAAGGAAAATGCTTTCAAGTATTTATGTATAGTCAAGGCTCTTGGAAGTGCTACGGAAATTCCCTAAAACAATAAATTATGCTTTTACTTAACCTGGTGGGACAGCTTCCAGATTTACTACTAATCTTAGTACCTTTCTAGGGGTTTCCAGAGGTCATCTATACATATATAAACACCTTTATGTCTGAATGTACGACTCCCCTTCCTTTTTAATGTGGAGTGCAAGTGTCGATAATTCTGTTAGTTTAAGAATAGATTAGAAAGTCAGTATTTTAATTATTAATTCACATTATAACAATGAACTTTAGGTAACCGAACACACTTTAGTAACCGATGAATAGACATCCTGGAGTTCGACAACAGTATTCACTATTCAAACTTATGCAAAAATCAAACTAGTTTAAACAGATAAACAATCATTCCAAGAAATGTGTATCTATTGAGAGTATTTTTCTACTTCAAAAAAGTTGTGTCTCAAAGCTTATCGGTAAACTAGATTATAATACTATGCTAAACAATGCATAGTTACTTCCGAAATCTGAAGTGAGTAGAGGACTTTACTATATTCAAACAACTCACAATCAACATTTTCAACAGATTCAAGCACCACTCCACTCTAATTAATTAAATTACGTATTAGTACAGACAAGTTATAATAAATACGTTATGCATTATAAGCACATGATTGCATATTTCATCATAAATTGATTGAAGAATTTTCGGATAGGCGATGTAATGAAAAATAGTAGGACATAGGCAATTTCGAAAACTGTAAACAGTGTTACATATGATAAACACTAACGTGAGAGTTGTTAACAATAATAAAAAATATACTAATTAATCAGTTATGACAAAGCCGCTTTAATTACAAAACAAACTCTACTATATAACTAAGTTACAGAGGCATGGTATAAATAAAAAGTTTAAGACAGTGTATTATTTGGAAACTGATTACAGTCTAGGTGAAATTATTTGGGAGGGAGGGTAGTGAAATATTATTACAGCTTCCATACAAAATGCAAAAATTCAAAATAAGAAATACAAATAATCTCCTTCAGCTACGTTGTAAAAACAAACTTGTCTGGAAGAAACACTGGATTTATTTAAATTTCAATCGCTGAAATTATTTCAGATATAATTTTCACATATAGTTGCTTCTATTCGTTTTAATAATAATAGTTTTATTGTTAACGGCTTAAATACTCATCATAAAGGTAGATAGGGAAATTATAATTAGGAAAGAATAGCTCAGCATGATGAAATAAAATGTAATCAGGAGGATTATAAAAAAATAAACTAGTTGGGAGTAGAAGGTTTAAGAAAATGGAAAGGAAAGCAGATGGCTATAGAGGAATTTATGAGAAATTGTTGAGTCGGCTTCCGGAGAACTTCAACGGAGCCTCCAGAGGCCTAAAAGGAGCCGAAGGATCCTAGCAAATCAGAGCATGATGGAACGTTCGAGAATTCCAGCGTGGCGTGCCACTATTGGTCGATAGCATAATATGACGTTAACGGATTGACTGAAGTATGATGTTGATTTAACAGACGCCAACATCTATAAATACCCTTGATTTTCTGTACAAGAATGAACCTTGGGATAAAGTATATTCTCTCATCCTTGTGTCTTCTCTCTGGTGTTCAAGTCGCTGTGTAGTTCTAGTCTGCGGGTTACCAGACAGCTTAGGAATCGTATATAGCGTTTCATCGACAAGACGTATCAGAAATTAAGACCATGGTAAAAAAGACATTAAAGAGGAAAAAGCTTGGACCAGATTGCCAGGTGAAACGTTGGATTTACTTCAAATTCTTTCGCTGAGATTTTACAAATACATTCTTCCTATTTAATGTCTCACATTAACTTGGCTCCCAAATATTGTGAAACTATGCGTCCAACTTTAGACGAAAGTTTTTATTTATTATTCATGGTAGAAGAGGTTGTACTAATTTCTTTTGGACACACAATTCTGGTTTTCCCAGATGTATGGTTATTGCTTTAACAATGTTAAGGAGATGTAATATAACTGCCTTTGGCATATGAAGTAAACATACTATCTGACTATTTGAACCAAAGTTTGTGGAATGGTGCTAGAAACTGGGACTTTGTATTTGAATGTTGAATGCTTTAACCACTAAGTAATGGTATGTCTAATGACAATTATTCAATTTATACAAAACAGAACAATAAGTTTGTTACTGTAATTAGTCAAAAGGGGAATCGGAGAGAAAAGATCCTCATTCTTTTAAACCAATAATAATAATATAGACTTACCAATATCACTTTTGGTATTAATCTCATCATAGCTGAACGGAAAATTGTTGATTGAATAGTGGTGAATAATAAATTCAGTAGATTTCGAAATCGACCAAATACATACAAATGGTTACACGAAGGCAATGATGATGATTCACTGGGTAAGTGTGCATCATTCATCATGAATATCAATCGAGATGTTAACTGTACAAAACTATTAGCTAATTGCATACACTGGGTAGGTGATAGAAGTATTAAACCGAATGTTTGATGGCTACCATAATGACAGTGTAAACGACCATTAGTCTTTAATACCCCAGAGTTTTTTAATCCATCACGAAACCGTGTCAAATGGTAATAATGACTTGATTCACTTAGCTTCATAGATTGATTAAGTGTGGTGGTTGTTGAAGGTGCCAAATGATTAGTTGGAAGAAATCGAAATGTACAGAATATACATTCACAAAGACTCAGCAGCAAGTCTAAACACTAAAAAAAAGTGTTTTCAAGAAGTTAACATCTAGCGAAAAACCTAATGTTAGTATAAATACTTTCAAGGTTAGTATAGAATTCAATAATGTCATCAGTAAGAAAAATTTCGTTGACTTGAATAAAGTACAAAAACTAACAGACTGGTTTCATACAAAGTAGGGGAGGGAAGAATTATCAGGTGTACACTGCACTGATAAGGAGCCTAAATTTAACAGTGAGACAGAAATGAAAGGCTAGAGGGTTAGTGAAAGGTTTGTTGCGAAAAATGATTTGATTTCCTGAAAGAGTTGGCAACTAGAGCGATGAATGGAACGCTGTAGAATAGTTCGAGTGGGTTCCATAAAGGTAATAGTTGACCATTGACCATCAACAACTTGAATCAGGGAAAGTTAATATCAAGCATTTAATCGGTGACTAAGTAAGAAAACTTAGAACTGTTTATATTTTAGGATCTAGAACTAAGCAAACCACTTTCCTTGTCATGAGGCAGATGGAACTCGGATTTGTATGACACAAATGTGGTACCTAAAAATACATCACATTAAGTGTAGAATCTTTGCACGGACGCTGATTGCTGTATAAAATTTATTTTTATTTATTTTAGCACAAAGATATTGGTACAAGGAGGCACCAAATACATATGCGCCACACATCTCATTTGATATGTGTGAGGGCTGTGATACTGCCTGGGTGCCCAAAACGAAGCAGGTGGTTTTCTTAGGAGGCCACACCCGGAGCCTTCGACCTGAAGGTCTGATCCATAAGGCAGCAGTAGAATATCGTAAGGAGATGCAGTCCCATGGTAGCCAGTGACCAGTGATTGGTTCATGCGCCATTTGTTCCTTCAGGATACTGGAGCCCATGTGCACTATTGGTTTGGAGTCAGGGTTTTCCGACCATCCTAAGTGGACTCTTCATGTCCACCAACCCGGTTAAAGCGCCAGACATTCGCTTTTCGTGCTCTCAATTTCGTAAACAACACCCCGCCACAAGAAGGCAGTGAGTAGGACTTCCCTGGCAGAGGCTATATACGCCTGGCCTTTGTAGGAGCGTTTCGAGAGGGAGAAAGGACTCCCCACTCTCGGTCGTACCATCGTATTTGTGGGCATCCAAATCGGTTAGATCAGTAAATCATTTTTTATCAGAAATATCCACCATCTACAATACATGTGGGTTTTACAAAGGATGTGCTTCTGGACATAACATTCACCTATTTTGACTTCTTATGAACTCATGTCTAACACGAGGAATTCTCCACCAACAACACAGCCATGTGATGTAATGACGCTAAAAATCAATGGACAGAATACTATGAAAGATGTGTAGATATTTTTAGCTTCTTAGTTAGTGTTTTTGCTTCAAGGTTGATGTGCACCAATGTATTGCTTAGAGGTAAGGAGTAAAAGGTTGAGTTTCTTGACAAATCCACTTATATGAAAATTTTTATGGTGGATAGTACTCCGGCATAGTTGGAAATGAAAGACAATACAGTTGCTGTTTAACACCAGTGAGTAGTAGTAAATTACTTGGCTTATAAATAACAGTAATATTACAGAATGATCATTTACAGGTGTGTTCACTTGACTTGAAACCATGCTTTCTATTCAGTGATGGTTAATGATGCAAACACAATTGTTCAAACCGAATTAGATGGATTGAATTTTGAATTTGGGGCCTATAAGTACTGTCGTGGTGTGTGCTACTTATTTTGACATAAGTAGTATATGATGTTAATCGTGAACAGAAAGAGGATCGAACAGTAAAGAATGGAAATAGGATGCAATTTGTATGAAAATGCAAGAACATAGAAGTCTGAGTCATTATGAGACAATTGATGGACATTTTGCAGACTAATCATTTACTATTTGATTGTTAGATTTTATTAACGAGTCCTGTAATTTTGTGTCGAATACATTCAATTGTCCCCACCCGTGTTCTGTTCACTACGCTGTATTGCATTTCTTGTTTGACAGATTAATGTCAACAATAATACTGGTTATTTGTATTTGATGATAACTTCATTTACTTTATATAGTTCGGAAATTAGTTAAACATTAAAAGGATACTTTCATAAACGCAGTTTTTAGTGACAATACGTATCGAGTAAAAATATAGTGGATTTATGGGAACAACCGACCACTTTTTTGCCAACAACGACGTATGATAAAGCTATTGAAATCAAGTAGTTTACAAAGTGATTAACTTGAAAATTAGTCATTTACGTCCAGACTATCTAATAAAACAAGTTTCTAATAATTTTATACATTAATTTCGAATTTAACTACGTTGGGAATAACAACTATTTCTAAAACAAAACCCCTTACACAAAGAACCTAAGTAATTGCATAGCTAAATGACTTGAAATTCTATGAGATAGGAACTGAAATCGAACCTTATAAGGATTGCGATAATTTTCTTTTATATTCATCTTAAATAATAGTAAAAACAAAAGATTATCATCGAGTGTACACTATGCAACTATCCTTAATGTATTCATGATTCTCTCTATCTATCTAACCTTTATATATTCATGTTACTTCCATTTCGCATTCTAAATGTTATGATCTGTGTTCCGAATTAGCTAGGTAGAAGGTAAAGACAAGACTGTATAAAAAGCAGCTTTTCCGAATACCTAACAAATACACTTACAATCAATGCGTATTTATATGTAGGCAAACTGATCCTACCAGGGACATAAGTCAGTAACTTTAACACTAGCTTACCTACGTTTGTATAGTACGCATGCAATCATGGGATATAGTTTGGTTAGTCAGGTTTTCTATGGATCCGGAGTTTGTATGTAAATAAAAAAAATAATAAATATTAAATGTGAAATCTAACTTGAAGATCAACATTTTTCAGCATCATCTTCACAATTTCCTCTAGTTGTGCTCCCAAAGCAAATAGAATGCGTGGGTGACCAGAATTCTTCCCAATTAAAATAAACTCCTTATTCACTAACCATAGCAGATTACGTAATACCGAAATGCGAAATTCACGATCACCCTTTTCTAAACTAGACCATAACAGAGGGAAGTATTTATTGGCAAGAAGTTGGTGTATGTACAGGACACCATTTGGGTAAAGAAATGATAAAGCATTATTATTTGAATCCATTCGGTGACTACTCATTAGTAAATATTTATGACGTATCGACATAATTGGGAAGATTGACGGACGAAGAACATCAGTTACTAGTGCATCGGTAGGTTGAACTGGAGGAATCGTCAATGAGCCGGTAGTTGTTGCCGTTAATGGTGGCGGTCGTGAAGATGTTCTAGCTACCCAGATGGTTTGTATTTCATTTAATACAGGAAAGAATAACATTAGTGGACAAAAGGTAAGTTGTGCAAATGATGATGATTTGGCGGATTTCATTGATACTCGTGACGTATATGAATTTTCATTGGGATCGGTTTTCGTTTTTACAGAACTCCAGCAGCATAGATAGACTACATAATACATACACAAACAAAAGAAAGAAAAACAAACATAGACAAGTGTATGATTCTCCTCTTTAACTCTAGTTTTTTTTTAATGTAAGTAATCTCATGTTTCTGCAAATTTATTATTTTCCCCTTTTCCCCAAATAAAATGTGAGGGCATGTGATACCATTTCGTTTGCTCGAGAGAAATTATGTAAATTGAGCTGACACTCATGACTTTACAGTTGTAGTATGAGTGCCTACACTACACAATTTGTTGGCATATGCTAACTAATGTAGTGCTCTGTTTCCTAATGTTAATCCACTCCGACCACACAAAGGCAAAATAATGTAACAGACAAGTTACAGAAAATGGAGGTTCCACGAAGAAGTAATCATTACAGTGTTGATAGGACACAAATCAATGTTCTCCAGCTCTAAAACACTAGACAAAGACAAAACTTTTCACAGATTATAAATTTGCGTTTACATAGAAGAGACCTAAAAACTGTAAACAAAAGGAAATTAGTAAACGTCCACCTCCATAACCATTTACACCCTCCCCCAGAACGATAAAATAGTAACGGACATAAAAAACCACTGATGTGATATGTAACGACTAATATACAGAATATTTGTTGTTGACACGAAGAAACTTGGTATAACAAGATATCAAGAAACGCGCCATACAAATCAAAGTGATATACATTGTAAAGAAAAAATGGACAGTAATATCGTCACTACATTCTATTCTAGCTCATACGTAATAGCATTTGAAGTTGGAGAAATGTTTAGTCGTTAAGACAAGCTAAAAGTTGCAAAATCCAGTAAAACATTACTCGAATTCCTCCTACCCACAGAGCCATATTATAAACATTGCGTTGATCTGTAACAGATGAGAACAAAATGGACATATATGCAGGTTATTACAACAGAAATAAAGTCTGCATTGGTTATATGTAAAAATAAAGTTATAAAACGTTCAGAGTATTGAGCTCATCACGAAACTTGGAGTTAATTAGTTTGATCTTGTCGTTTGTTTGGGGGATGAGTATTGATAGATGGATTCACAACAAAGCAGTAGGTCAGTAGTTTCGATTTCGTGATGAAAACCACCATCAAGTAATTGTTTCCAAACCATCGGGTTTTAAAGGTGATAGTTTAGTTGAAAATATTTAAAAAGAAGCAATTCACTTTGTAGAATATGATTACCAGTCATCTTGACATTAAGCATCAGATGTAAATGTACCTAAAAAAAATTTCATAGGATTCTTCGTATTCTTACATTCATTCATGTACTTCAGCAAATTGATCAATTGCGTTTCGGTCAGCTACATGGAAATCATTTCACAACGTATAATTTTTTTTAAAAAAAAAAGTCGAAATCGTGAGGTATTTTTTCAAGATTCAATCAGTCCTCCATATATAATAATAAGGTACATAATTTCTGAAGAAAGTGGAGTTATTTTAATTAGCAAGAGCACTATTTACTGAGGTACGGGGTTATAAGGTAGGTAACAATCAATATTCCGCTTAAAATAAACATAATATATTACTAGACTGTGAGAGATCACGGATCACACATGAAATGCAGTATTTTTTTCAGAGGAAATCAATTATCAGTTTACGTTGACTTACATAATAAATATTCAATTAAACTTGGATCCAATGTAAATCCTAAACTTAAAATTAGTTGAGCACATGAACTATTTTGCAAACTGTTTCCACTGACCAACTTTTGAAATAAATAACATTTTAAATTTGAGAATGGTAAAAATTTACAACTCAATTCGTCATTTGAAACAGTGATATTAGTATCATTGATATTGGTTGTGGTAGTAATATTAATGATTTTATTATAAAACAATGGAGGTGGTGGAGGATTGCTTAGGCGTAGAGCTGCACGAAGTAGACCTTCACAACCGCCACGATCTAACGAATCAGCCGTTTCTGAAGATCTTTGGGGATAAAAGAAAAAATATACGACAATGAAAATTCTTACAAAAAATGACGAAATTACAGCAAGCAGTAGGAAAATAGTACAAATACAAAACATGAGCAGGTTTAGGTTGGTATATTTTGGAATGTGTTAACACGGAACTGTCTAATATGATTAGCTTAACTCACATCACTATGAAAATGAGAGGATTTGCTAAAGTGAAACAATAATTAGGCTGTATATATTAGTGACTAGGTTAGTAACATTTCACCTTTAACTGAAATTGAAATGTTCTGTGAAAATTGCGCTTCATTTTTGGAGCCTAATAGCACATCTGAAGTCTATCTACGATATATGAGTAAATCTCAAGCCAAAACAAGACAAGCTTTGAGTTTTCGAATTTTCGGATGCTACTGGGTTATTGCCTTGAAATCCTAGTTTTAATTCTATCCGCTATGATTGCAAAAGTAGTCTCAATTAAGAAGTTGTAAATTTTAAAATAAAAAATATGTATTGCTTCTTAAAAATACATTGATTGATAGTTTAGAAGATTCACAAGTCCAGTGATAAGTTGAAAAACCGTTGAATTAGTGGCTAGTAGTCATTACCAAAAGTTTTGAAATTCAGAGAAGTCATGTACCTTTGTTTAATCCAATTAATTAAGATAAAAATGCAGGTAATAAGAATTCTTCACCTGAAACAGATTAGTGACAAGTCCAAGATGTTAGACTTCACCTGTAACTCTTCTAGAGTTACTGTCGGTCCCAGCCTGGTAAAAGGAGGAGGGTTGCGCATAGGGTCAGCAACGCCATCCCGTAGAAAAAACCTTGCTAAAAAACGCCAACCACATTAAACAAATTAAACCATTTAAATTCTGCCCGGAGAAATGAAAGAATTGTAACGCCTCATGATGAAAGCCGAGATTTTTCGGAAGTCACGAGGTCGATGCCCCTTCTATCAAACAGAGCAACAATTTTATAGCTACATGGAACATGGAGACAATGTGGGAGACCCGGAGGACCAGTCAAATGGCAACGGAAATGAGATACAACTTGGCGGTTCTCGGAATCAGCGAAACCCATTGGATCCAAGTTGGGTAGAAAAGAATAGATTCAGGTGAGATGCTGCTGTACTCCAGTCACGAAGAGGGAAATGCTCTACACACTCAGGGAGTTGTTCTGATGCTGTCCAAAGAAGCACCTAATGCACTTATAGGATGGTAATCTCATACATCCAGGATCATCAAAGCATCATTCAAAACAGTGTTATGCACCCACCAACGATGGCAACCACGACAATAAATATCAGTTCTATGGGAGGCTGCAATCGATCATAGCGAAGTGCCAGAAAAATATCTCATCATCCTGATGGGACACCTAAGCGCCAAAGTCAGAATGGACAACACCGGATATGAAGATATTATGGGACGCCATGATCTGACTAGGAGAGAGAAACAAAAATGGGGAGAAATTTTCAAACCTATGTGCATCCAATAAACTGGTTATAAGTGGTAGAATATTCCCACAAACGCATACACAAAGCTACATGGATCTCACCGGACCACACCACGGAGAACCAGACAGATCATATTTGCATCAATAAAAAATTCCGAAGGACAATGGAAGATGCGAGAACCAGGAGAGGAGCTGATATAGATACAGATCACCATCTGGTGGTGGCCAAGATGAGACTGAAGCTAAAGAATCAATGGACAACTGGCGAAACAGCATTACGAAGGTTTAATACAGCCTTCCTTCGACATACTGACAAACCCAACAAATTCAAGACAACTCTCAACAACAGGTTCCAAGTTTTACAGGATCTAATGAAAAAAGAAGAAACTACTATGGAGGACAACTGGAAAGGTATCAAAGAATCATTAATTTCGACGTGTCAGGTAGTGGGCCTCAAGAAGCATCATCATAAGGAATGGATCTCTATCGAAACCCTGTTTTGGATTCAAGAAAGGAAGAAGAAGAAGACGGCAATTAACAACAGCCGAACACGAGCAGAGAAAGTCAGGGAACAAGCTGAATACTTTGAAGCAAACAAGCAAGTGAAGAGGAGCATTGGAGCCGACAAGCAGGAATACGTTGAAGAGCTAGCAAACGACGGTGGATAAAGCTGTAAGAGAAGGGAATATGAGACAGCTATATGGTACAACGAAGAAACTAGAAAGGAAATAAAGTAAACCAGAGAGATCGGTCTAGGACAGAAAAGGTAAGACAATAACCGAGATTCAAGAGCAGAGGAACAGATGGGTAGAATACTTCGAGGAACTCTTGAATAGACCAGCGCCATTGAACCCGCTGGACATCGAAGCAGCACCTACAGACTTCCCTATAGATGTCAACCCGACAACGACGGAAGAAATCAGGATGGCCATCAGACAAATCAAGAACTGGAAAGCAACACAACCTGGCAATATACAAGCTGAAGCTCGCAAGTCAGACATAAAAGTAACTGCAAGTATGCTTCACGTTTTATTCAAGAAGATTTGGGAGGAAGAACAAGTGCCGACAAACTGGAAAGAAGAGTACTTCACCAAGATACCAAAGAAAGATCTGAGCGAATGTGAGAACTACAGCCGAATCAAACTACTGTCAGTACCAGGAAAGGTTTTCAACAGAGTGTTTCTGAACTGGATGAAAGATTCAATAGACTCGCAACTTCGATACACACCAACAAATGCAGATAAAGACAGTCAGTGTAGCAGCAGTCTCTGCATCAGTAAGCCTCAACATACAGAAAGGAAAAAGCAAGATCCTCAAATACAACACAAAGAACACCGACCCAAACACACTTAATGGAGAAACTCTGGAAGAGGTGAAACCTTCCACTTACCTTGGTAACATCATCGATGAACAAGGAGGATCCGATACAGAAGGTAAAGATTGGTAAGTCAGCGGCAGCATTCCTACAATTGAACATATGGAACTCGAAACAACTGTCAACCAACATCAAAGTCAGAATCTTCAATACGAACGTTAAGACAGTTCTACTGTACGGAGCTGAAACGCGGAGAACTACTAAAACCATCATCAAAAAGGTACAAGTATTTATAAACAGTTGTCTACGCAAGATATTGAGTATCCGTTGACCGGATACCATCAGCAAAAGCCTACTGTGGGAAAGGACAAACTAGCTCCCAGTTGAAGAAGAAATTATCGAAAGACGCTGGAGTGGATAGGACACATATTGAGGAAATCATCAAACTGTATCACGAAACAAGCGCTAACTTGGAACCGTGAAGGGAAACGGAAAAGAAGACCGAAGGACACACTACGTCGGGAATCGGAAGCAGACATGAAAGGGATGAATAGCAACTGGTAAGAATTGCCCAGGACAGGGGTTGGACGAAGAGTGCTGGTGGGCGGCCTATTCTCTTTCATCAGGGGTAGCAGGCGTAAGTAAGTACCAGATGTTCGGTTAACTTTATGGTTAGAGGACGAGATTTAGTTTCAGATTCGTATTAGTCGGTAATCACATCAATACAATGCTGATATTCCATACCTTCCATAGAGAAACGAACGAATACAATCTAGAAAATCCCTGAAGATGACCAACAAGATATAGATGCTAATAGAAAAAGGTCAATATCCGTTTTAGAAATCTCCCATGAAAGGCTAAATATACTGATGTCTCAAGGAATTTGCATTTTAAACGTATGGTTGTGTCAGTTACTATTTAATAATTTAAAAATGGCAATACGTTTCTAAACTAAATATGGTTCGCTCGTGAGTTTCGGTAAAGTTGTGAAGAAAATCCCACTCAATGATTGAATATTGTTTGACATCAAATAGAGGAGACGGTTTAGTGTATTATAGTAAATGAATATATAATTTTTCTCGGAATCACAGAGTAATTAACAAATTTACTCAACCTTATATATAAAGTTGTGAATTGAATGGAAACCTGCCGAGTTGTTTAAATAATAACCAGTAAACTTGAACTATATTTATAGATGAAAAAACATAAAATACTGAAAAATAATGGTGATAAAAAATTGGCTATACAGAGTAACTTAAAAAAACAGAGACATATAAGCATTTTAAAAAAGGACTTACGAATAAGTTAGAAAGATTGCAGTATCACAAAGAATTCTTAAAATCTCACGACAATATGATAAGAAATTGTTGAAAAACTTATGATATTCTAATAAAGATTGATAACGTTGGGATAGTTGGTCATCTGAATTCAACTTAGGTCTTTTAGCATCAGAACAATAGACATCTTCAAAATCACTCGATGTTGTCGATGTGGTAGTGGGAATAACACTAGATGTAGATGTACTACACAACTGAGATGATTCCGACTCACAAACATTTACCAAATAAATCAATAGACGTTCAACATTTGAACCAACTGCAAGGAGAAAAAAAATAAGTGGAAGTAACTTTTAAATTTGACAAATATGATAGATCAATTTAATTTAAATGTATGAACAAATCACTTACCACGCACATTTTTCTTTGAGTCACACTCTAAATTTAAGGGCTATATAACCCGAATACTTAAACCGAATCACATGAAGTGAGGTTTAAAACTGAAAACTTGAAGGTTAAGAGTCAAATACTTTAACCTTTAATTAGTAACAGTTTGTAACTCCATATTGTTGATATCCAGGAGTATAATCAATGTTCGGATGTACATTTGTTAGCGGGACATAGACTAGAATAAAGCATGCTCAATGCATGATTGCTTTGGTGCACGCTGATTGGCTAATTCTTATCCAATCAGCGCTAGTCGATAGTCGGAGAATATTCTGGATTCTTCTTATGTAAAAACTATAAATATACCGACGTTTTCCCCTATTGTGCTTCCTACTGGCTTCTGACTTGCTATTTGGAATATAATCATTTTCCTGTTCAACCGTGTTCTGATTTGGGGACTTGTCGAGTGAATCGGTGTCCGAGAATACTAAGCAATAGGAATAGCTGGGTCATTAACCGTAAAAAGAAACAGAGATTATAACAACATTCTGAGCGGATACCTGGATACTGTCTTATAGTTACATATTTGGAATATCAAAAACTTTTACTTGTTGGAAAGTGCATTATTTCCTGGGAATAAGCCGATAATAATTATCATTACTTAAGATTTTTAAACAGCATATGTACCATTGAATTAATCGCTATGAATCTGAGATACTGAATGACGGATTTTCAAGATCATATCGAAAAATTCAACATATACCCACACTTTCTCCTGTATCATAGTCAGTTACAGAAAGAATAAACCTTTTACTTCTTTTATTTGATCAATATATGTGAAGTGGGCTGAATCACTGGAGGCAAAGTGCAAGTCCGTATAAATAGTATTTTGGGATGTGTTCATTCGAGTTAACTGTTGGATTGATCTTTTGATTTGCACAGACGAGTCATTACTAATATGTTCATACCCGTTGGAAATATTAGTGGGCCATTGGACTCAGTATATCAGTAGATAATCTGTTGGTATTTAAAGCAACAGGTACTTTGTTCGAGTTTTAATGTAAATATCAACACTGGAATACAGGTATATCAAGGTTGCAAGGCCAAAATAGAACGAAGTTCATGTTATTGGCTCAACTGCTTCAGATATTAAGCCTAAATTATATATGCATAGGATAAAAAAATCAAAGGTTCGTCAACCTAATGACTACCAGTCTGTAAGCTTAATGAACAAGCTTTGTAAAATTAACACTAATCAAACATTTTAAGTTCAATAACTGAATATCGAACATAAACAACGTGGATGCACTCATTTCTTTTAAAACTAATCCTAAAAGTTAAAACCCCCTATTTGTCTTTCTGTTTCTTGTTGACCAAAGTCCTTTTCTTCATAAATTTTATTGATTGCTTTCTAAAAATTTTACTTTTCTTGCAATATTCTACTACTTGTGATGTTGTGAAGGGTATGTGAACGTCAATCTTGAATTACATCCTGTCTGAGTTTCTACGCTTCTCCATATATTTGTCTCTGTAAATAGCCAAAAGGCAATTTGATATAATAGGGAAAAGAGTGGTCAGTGTATAGCTTTTGAGACTATCGTACGAAATAGTAAGCACAGATGCACGGTGGCTAGCAGTGAAATCCAGAACGGGTGTTTCTTCCTATTTTTGGACTCGTCGGTTGGATATACATGCATCATACGAAAGATCAAATTGTATTTTTACTGTGTCATAAGTAAACACTTGGGCTATTGCTTTTTTATTTTGTCCTATTCCTAAACTTACGCTTGACCCGGAAATCCTTGTCAAAAGGCTTACGATTTCGGATTTAACCAGTTTTTTCCGGCATGACACAAGTATACGAGATTCTGGATCACAATCAAACTTTTTTTTCAAAACCTGACTATGACTATGAGCCACAAACAAGGTCATGGGAGAGGAAAAATCTAGCACTTGTGGTATAATTTTAAAAACATCACTTCTAGTTGAAGCAAGTTCTGACGTCGATATATATATATATATATATATATATATATATATATATAACAGAAATGAAAATAGAGATGGAGAAAACAACCAACCTGGGGCTTGCAATATACTTTTAACTAGAAGTTCAATCATTCTAGCAGCTGACTGATAAGTAAATTCATGTTGATTTTGAAACAACGCAAATAATTGAAATGGAGTAAGTGTTATAAAATTATCAATTATAACAGACAATGTAACAGATTTAATACGTCTAACTAAACTAAGAATCCATAGAAGAGAAGTTGGTTGACGACTAGCTGGAAGATAATTATTTGACTGACGTTCGCTGAACAGTAGTACAGCACCAGTCATCATAGGATGAGAATCGTTTAAAGTAGAACGATTAGAAGGTATGCTAACCGGAACTTGAAGTAATGGTGGTGGACGACGAACAGGAATTTCAAACTGTTGAGAAAAACTAGATCGAAGTGGAGTAAAATTTGATTGTCCTGTCGGCAGGTTTGAATTCAGCATATTATTTAATGGAAGTGGGAGATGACATAGAGTTGGTAACATCGGATTCATGTTTCGTGGTGGCATATGTGGTACGCTGACTGTTTACGTGTAAAAATATAATAGAGAGAAAAGAAAAAAATTAAGTATATCCATTTATTTTAACAAGCAGATTTTGAAAAATAAAGTTTTACAAAACCAACTTACAATGAGATGGTATTGATTTGCAATCCACTTCTTTTATCACACAAGGCGGACGACAAGAGCCGGGTGTCATACCGTAATTAAAACCTTTCGGAAGATGAGAGTACCTCCAAGGGTGATGGTCCATAGTTAATTCAGTCGTTGAAAGAACATTATTTATGGGTATTTGTTGGTCTGATGGAGATTGTGGTGGAATAGGCACTGATATAAGACTTAGATTAATTATAAGGTTCAACAATCTCGTTTGTTGAGTTAAAGGATTTTGTTTATTAACATTATCATTGTCCAATGAAGCTTCATTTGATATGAGCAAAGCATACGCAGAAAGTGGTTCCAGTTTGGTGCGTAGCCAATCACCAAGAAATTCTGGGACTGAATCACCAAGAAACAACAAGTGCGTTAAACACACTGTGATCTATTAATGTACGTTGGAGACAAATAAACATTCAGCATGACATATTTATGATAAGTCAAAAGTATACAAGTACATGAATAGTTTAAAAAACTGTGGTTTGCTATTTCATACCATCAGTTGACAATACATCCGGTTGATTATTTTCTTGTTGACTCCGCAGGAATGTTAGGGCTCCTTGAACAGATCCTTTGATACAGCCTGTACTCACAGGTTGATCATATTTTGGACATTGACTAGCAACTGAGTCAAGAATACACGTTATGTCCAACTCGGGACTCATTAGTTTGATGTGCCTGGAGCCATGTGGTGATATTCTTATGCTTTGAATTTGAAATGATCTATACATATTTCAAGTCTTAATCGGAAGACAAACAATGGTATACGGGCAAACAGAGTTGAAAAGTCCCAAATACAACAAAAAGGATTATGTGAACAACAAAGGCAAACATAATCACTCTAAGAATGCTCTTTTCTATATGTTATTCCAATGCGTATTTAGCAGTTAAATTATTGAAAAAGCCTGCTGCTTATTTTCTGATTGCATCTTAAGTTATAATGGGTTAACAATATTGTAGCTTCTAATAGGAAATCTTTGCAGATACATTCTTATAAGGTTAAACAGCACTACGAATCTATGCATAGTTTGGTCCGTAAGCGACACCTTATTAACTTACTTACTTACACTTGTTACACCTCATGAAGGAGCATAGGCTGTCCACCTTATTAGTACTATGTCCTATATCAGAATTACTTTGGAGTAAACAACATTACAAAAAAGTAAAAACATACCCAGAAATCTAAATCAAAATTACTTTGATAAAAGTATCCACCCAATGTATCTGGTAACAGCGTACACTGAAGAACATTTGGCCTGAATGGATGCAGTACAGATGTCAATATTAAACTACATAGTTCATTCAACTTTTGTATTCCTGTTGACATTAGGTTATTTCGACTAGTTGCTTGATATAATAGCCAAATTACTATCCAATGCGGTAATACAGAATTAGCCAATAAATGGCAATGTTTAGAATTTTCTAAAGAATTATCCCATATTGGTACAGTGGAGGAGGCCAATAAAGCTTGCACTGAACTCAGTCGAATATCTGGACACTAAATAAAGAATATGCAGCAAGAACAATGATACGATGACATAAGTTAGTAAAAAACCAGACGAGTATTCATTAATTAGAATTATCAAATCCCAGCGGTATGCTATCCTTTAATTTATAGAGTAACCTTTTTTGAATGTATCTTTGGCAATGCTATTGACTGCTTAACACCACAATTCCAGCGTTGTACTCTGGACAAATTCCATCTCTCGATCTGGAGACTTCAAACGTAACTCGATTGTTGGGTCATAAATGTCGAATTTTATAACCCGGATCATTTGGAAGTCGAAGAAATTTACGCGAGGAACTGAGATATATGAACGGTTTTCAGTGAGGCTTAGTGGCAAGACTATGACTTATGGATGAAGCAATGATTTAAGGTAGCAGGTCCTGGATTTCAGAGCGAAATTCACTCGTCCATATGGCTGAATAACATTTTGGCATTATAGCTTACGATATTTCGTGATTAAAATAGTAACTTTAATTCCTAACCTTAACGCCCAACAGAAAATCTTAATCCTAATTCCTTACACTAATTTACAACCCTCATTTGACCCTAGCAAACAGGACATTCTCAAGCTCATTTAACACTCTAGTAATTGAGCGAGTATTTCATGTAGAATCAACGGTTTACTGATGTTACATTTTCACAAATGCATTCTACGACTATAGTGTAATAGCTGTAAAAACAAGGTAGCCAATTTTCAGAATGAACTCGGAATTACTGCATTTAACCATAACCAAGTAGGACTATATTATTATATGTTATCCTCAGCCAGTCAGTCAGTAACAACGTAGAACTTCGTACGTACGTACATCAGTTCGAGTTGCCACACCACATTAGCACAGAGATGCAGTGGTCGATTCAGATCCCGTAGTGGTAGAGGTAATAAGAGTATAAGCAGTAATCGGGAAGATTAGTGTTTGGAGACGTTACTTAAAGAGTATAATACAGTGAAATAAATTTGAGAGGAGAAAAAAAGAGACATGGAGGAATAAGGAGATCAAAATTTGGGAGAACACAAAGAGTGTACGCACCTACGCCATTGCAAACGATTTTCAGCCATGTCATTCAGGGTCTCTAACCATCGGTTGCTATCATCTCGCGGTCCCCAACCAGGTAGTCTACACCTACCGACATGACTCAGACCACTTGTCAGTGACTTCATGGACTTGTGCCATGTTTTGGTCTGGCCGCCCCTAGCTTTCTTCCAACCTACTCCTATACCACTGAACATCGCACGTCGAGGTAGTCGGTCGTTGGGCATATGTAACAGGTGTCCCAGCCATCTCGACTGATGAAGTTTCACTACTTCATCAATGGATTTGCCATCCTTACCTAGTACCCGTTTCCTAACAACTGCATTACTTACTCAGTGGTCCCAGAATATACGAGCAATGCTTCGAAGACACCCATGATCAAATACTAGTAACCTACGAATATCCTCTACTCTTACCGGCCATGTTTCACTACCATAAAGTAGGACGGGACGAACTGCTGCGCAGTAAACCCGTCCTTTGGTTGATAGACGGATATCTCGCCTACGCCATAAATGACGCAAGTTGGCAAAAGCTAGTCGAGCCTTCTGTATGCGTGCTGAGATTTCGATATGTTACTCTATGCATTGCGAATACAAGCATAATGTTTAACATTTACGTAAAATACTGCGCAAAATTTCTTAATAATAAATGGTGATCGATAACTTAAGTTAGTAGTATCCTGAAGGTTGTTAGTGTTACTATGCTATGACTCACGTTCCACTTTCTATTTCCGTTATTATCTTCCTACCAACATACAAATATGAACATATTTGAATATGAACTACTAAATAAAACTTACCAATAAACAATTACATGCAATATTTAGTAAGTCAATTAGTACAGGACATTTGACCCAAAGTCCTAAAATTTGCTGATTCACAGCGGAAGTGGAACCAAAATCCAAATCGATGGTATTGCCACCAACAGAATTACAATCCTGTTTTCTCAATGAACTGAATATTTGATCATTTGAATCCAAACCAATATTTCGCGTATTACAGCTAATACTATTTAGTTTATTATCATCAGATCGATCTCGGGTGTCTGAATTTGTAGAAAGTGATTTGAACTCACTGGCATCACTAGTATCAAAACAGATATTGGCAGAAGGCAACGTCCCATCGTTACGTTTAACACTGACCACTACATCGACACCACTTACCCCCACTAACTCATTTTCTTCATCACTACTAGAAATTGAACATGAATCAGAATCTGACACTATGATTAGTTGGTGGCAGGATGTGGACGTGGGTGAAAACGACGACAATGAATGCAGGTCAGATCTGTGTTTTTTACCATATCGATAATTAGTACCTTTTATAATATTCAATCTGTTACGATCATTAATGTTATTATCAGTACTTGAAATATTGTGCATTCCAGATTTGTGCAAAGTTTTTCGACTAGTTGATATTAAATTGTTATTCAAAGTTCTACCCAATGTTGAAGATGATTTACTACCACTTTGTTGTCGACTACGTGATCCAAGCAAGTCCATCAAGTTTGATAATAATTGGGTTGGTGGAGCAGTGCATACAGGTCGAATTAACACAAGACACCAAGAACAAACTGCTCCAAGGAGATGATCAGTCACCCCTTTATAAGTGATCAGTGAATTAATCTGATTGGGAAGTAAAAATAGGGAAAATGTAACACTTTTAGAGGTTCTATTACATGAAAAAGAGAAGTATGATCAAGAAGTCGTTCTAGATATAGACTTCTCTAATTACGAAACGATAGTAATTGAGCAAGAAGTAAAAGGAGAATACATCAAATATCGTAAGCCCTAATTTGTTTCATGAGAAAAATGTTCAGAGATGCAATAGTTTTACATTCTTAGAAATAAATATTACATTGTTACTATTCACTTTGATGAAGATACAGACAAGGACAAATCACAGGCATCTCCGGAATCAACATTGATGGATTTACGAAAATGATTCTGAATAAATAAATAATTTGAATAAATATCAAATTTAAAGTACGCAGATGTTCAAGCATTGTTGCAGTCAACATGGTAATAAAAATAGCTCAAATAATTAGGTTTTCAATCAGTATCAGCTGGTGTCAGAAGATTTGATTTACAAGACTAGTTAACAACAACACAATTATTGAATTTCTAAGAAACCACATGAACTCTCTAAACTTAATTTTATTAATACAAACAAACAATAAAGATATTTTTTGTTAGTGTATATTTCCTGAATGAAGTCTACAACATAATTTGGGGTCACGACGTTAAGTGCTATAACCTGTAATTAGTTGTAATGCTACAGAAATGTACCTATCATTTTTTTCTCAAATTTCAATTTTAATACAACTATGTATCTTCATTAGTCAATTTCCTCTGTTCTTTTCAAAACAAGATTTCCTATCTATTATCTACTATTAATTAGAACTTCGAAAAAAAATCGGTTTAATCAGTACAAATATTCTCTGTTCTTTGTGCTATCAAATGGCTACTAAGAATCAGTAGCTAAGTGGATAACGCCATGTCGTTTGAAGCGAACAGCACTAGGTTCGAGTCCCGGAAAGAACATCAACTCTGAGATGCAGGTACTTCAGGCTGACGAGTCCCAAATAGGACGAAACGCGTGTCCTGAATTCCACTGTTAGCCACCATTCATCTTTGCTTAAGTGTTAATTAGTTCAACAGTAATACAAAACCTGTCATCGCTAAATGAAATAATCGAAAATATGATATAATACTTGATGAGGAATGTTGTATTCTAAAGTGGTGGATGCATTTGTATCACGAGAATTATCCATAAAATGTATTAGTTAACGTCTTCAAACTAGCTTAAAGTTGTACATTAATTCAAAGCTACACATCTTACCAACTTGACTTTTTTGGGTTTCATTGAATACTCTTTACAGTTGCATTTGTTTCCACTCCTTTCCTGTTACTGTCAGTTCGTCTTTTAATTTGTAAATCTTTGTTTACGTTGAAAGAAATGCATTTCCAAAACTAAAAACATAATTTTTTTTCGTCGATTACCGATGTTTATGTTTGATTTAAGCCTGTTGTTTGATAATTCGTAGGCTTACTTTTCTTTTGACACTGATGATGACATCTGAAGACATTATGGTTTTTACATGTAACTCGATCTCTGTGCTAAAATCACATGTATTATGGAACAAGCATCTTTTTCTTTAAATTTAAACCAATCATTTTTAAAACACTATAAGTTGAGATCGACAGTGATTGGAAATGCGTTATAAATAACAGGTTTAAGTAGCATTCTAACAGGGTTAACCTGTTCAAAGAAATACAGTAACCAAAGCGCTCGATTATTTGATTAATACGGTAAAAAGGTTTTGGACTGTTTTGTATTTCATACAAATGAACTGTTTTCTGGTTTCCTCACGGGTTGCTCAGAAAAACATTTCAGTATCATACATCTGACATTCTTAAACTCGTCAATAACAACTCCGTCTACAGGGATTTTTAAGAACATATAAGATACACCAAACTGATGAAGCAAGTAATTAAAATTAACTGTCAAGCATAAAGATGGAAGGCAAATCACTGATTCAAGAACAGTGGAACAGGTGGATAAAACACTTTGAAGAACTCTTAAATTGACCAGACTCACTGAAACCACTAGACATCGAAGCAGCATACACAAACCTCTCTATAGATGTCAACCCACAAACAATAGGAAAAATCAGCATAGCCACCAGACAAATCAACAGTGGAGAACCAGCAGCATCAGACAACATACAAGCTGAAGCACTGACGTCAGACATAGAAGTAACTGAAAACCTGTTACACATCCTATTCAAGAGGATTTAGGAGGATGAACAAGTGCCGATAGACTGGAAAGTGGGATATCTCATCAAAGTAACAAAGAAAGGTGACTCAGTAAGTGTGAGAAATACAGAGGTACCACACTACTATCAGTATCAGGAAAAGTTTTCAACAGTGTTGTTGAACCAGACGAAAGATTCAGTGGACGCTCAACTTCGAGAACAACAGGCCGGATTCCGTAAGGATCGATAGTTTACAGACCACATCGCGACACTATTGATCATTGTTGAACAATCAAGTGAATAGAACTGGTTACCATACATCAATCTTCTTAACTATGGTAAAGCATTTGACAGCGTGGATAGGAGAATCTTGTGGAAGCTTCTTCGACACTACGGTGTACCTGAGAAAATTTTCACCATCGTACGGAATTCTTACGACAGATCACACTACAAATCGTGTGTGTAGGCCAGCTCAGATATGCAATCCGAGTAAAGATCGGCGTTAGACAATGATATTTACTCTCTCGCTCTTTTGGTGGTTGACTGGATAATGAAGGCTTTCACATCTCAGGCGAAGCACGGAATATGATGGACAGCTTGGATGCAGCAAGTCGATTTCAGTTGGTTAGTCACATCGTAAAACCAAACACTTAAATGCATCAGTCCAAGTAGCCATACCTCATGAGCACAACAAGACGGACACCAAATTCATATAAGTAGTCACTTCAATGGTAGAAATGTACAAAAGAAAGATTGTATATAAGGACATAGTACAGGAAGAAATAATTAGTTTGTAAAAAGAAAGATATAAAGCAACTTTAATCTCACGGTTTAAGGAAAGATAGAGAGTGTATACACCGACGCCATTGTGATCGATTCTGACCCATGTCACCCAGAGTTTCCAACCATTGGTTACGATAGCCGCGCAGACCCCAACCAAGTAGTCTGCATCTACCAACATGGCTCAGACTAGAAGTTAGTGATTTCAAGCACTGATGCCACGTTCTGGTTTGGCCGCCCCTAACGTTCTTCCAACCATCCCCAACACTATTCAGCATTGCGCGTCGTGGTAGTCGGAGTTCAGTCATATGTAACACGTGGCCCAACCATCTCAGTCGATGGAGATTCACAATCTAACCAACTGATTTACCATCATCCCCTAATACCTTGAGTCTAACCTAACTATTACTTACCAGTGATCCCAGCAGATGTGAGCAATATCTCTAAGACATCTGTGATCAAATACTAGTGGCTTACGAGTATCTTGTACTCTTAATGGCCACGTTTCGCAGAAATAAATTAGGACAGAACGAACTACCGTGCGATATAATCGTCCTTTAATTGATAGATGGATATCTCGCCTTCGCCATAGATGATGTACGTTGGAAGAGCCAAACGAGCTTTATGAATCCGTGTAGAGATTTCTTCAGACACTAACCCATTAAGGTTGATCAGACTTACAAAATAAGTGAAGTTGTCGACGCGTTCGACTACTTCATCACTGCCTATCCGTAATTCAGGTGTTGACAAGGGTCAGTCTTCAATCAACAACTTGCATTTAGAGGGGAGAAACGCATCCCAAACATCCTGGAATTGTTGCTCAGTGCTACCAAAATACTGCAATTTATCAGCGTCTTCATCAAACAGGACTATGTCGTTTGCGTATTCTAACTCGATGAGTGGACCTTCTTGTAGGAAATAAATTCCTGAAAATCCAGACGGCGAGAACGTTGTTTCCAACAGTAGGTCTATGATAAAATTAAACACAAATGGAGATAGTGGACAGCCTTGCCGGACACCACTTAAGGTTGCAAGATCAGATGACAGTTTTCCATAAGCTCTGACTCGACTGGTAGTGTTCGGGTAAAGAGCCCTCATAATGTTTATGTGCTTCTGAGGTACACCGTTCAATGACAGGCACTCCCACAGAACCTTTCAGTCTACAGGGTCCAATGCTGCTTTCAAGTCAAGAAAGACCATCATGTTGTAGAAATCCGCTGGGTCCCAGTGATCTTTTGGTTCAAATCACTAACAGATGCCGCTGCTGTTTCTACAGCTGCTCGTATATCTTTCCAAGCAACATCTGAGTCAGCCTTGTTTTCAGAACAAACTAAGTGTGACCTCAGTTGTTCATGGAATTCAGCTTGGGCTTTCCCATCACTGAGTCCAACTCTAATGAGTCTTCTTAATGTGACGTTCATGCGTCCAGTGAGGAACAAGCAAATCCTTGCTCCTATTAGGGCATGATCAGAGTCTTAACATGTATTCGAGAACGAGTGGCAGTCTTCTAACGAACCTCTTCAACTATGCCTGATGGTAATATGGTCTATTTGAGTTCATCGTTGGTTTATTGCAACTTGTAGTGTAGTTTGGAGCGATGTCTCAGTAGACTTGGGTCAGTATTTTGCGCACTATAGTTATTGGCCTTGGTAACATTTTGTGGGAAGCATTTATTTGACTTCATTTGAGCACATAAATATTGGTACAAAGGGGCACCAAACACACATGCGCCACACAATGACAATGAGGCCAGTAGTAGTTATCATTGATTTGTGTAAGAGCTGGGATACTACCCTGGTGCCCAAACCGAAGTAGGTGGTTTTCTTAGAAAGCTACGACCGGAGCCTTTGACCTGAAGGTCTAACCCACAAGGCAGTGAAGAAGCGTAAGGAGATGCAGTCCCATGGTAGCCAGTGGCCAACGACTGGTTCCTACGTCATTTGCTCCTTAGGATACTGGAGCCCATGTGCACCATTAGTTTGGAATTAGGGCTTTCCAACTCCCCTAGGTAGACCCTCCATGCCCCAAAATGCCCTGGTACGGCCGAGAGACAGGAGGGTCAGCTCTCTCGCTCGAAATGCCCTCACATGGCCATGCGTACACAGCCACTGCCGGGGAAGTCCTACTCAGTACCTTCTCGTGGCGGCGGTGTAGTTTGCAAAATTAAGAGAACGAAAAGTGAATGTCCGGAGCTTTAACTGGGTTGTGGGAAGGCAATATCGCTGTTATGCTGGTTGTCTAAAAGGAACACCTTAATGCCAACACAACTCTGTACAGTCAGCAGTACGACTTTGTCCTCTGGCCTTGAGTTGCTGCTTTTAGTATTACCGTTCTTCAACCGATCTGTCTAGCATGGTAGGACCTTGAGTAACGATTATTCCAGCCAGTATAACCCGATCGGTTCATCACGACAGGTAAGCCCAACGACCATGCCAAGATAGCAGCAATGTTCGGAAGGTAGACGATTTGGACTTTGCAGGTGACCTAGCGCTTTAATCTTATACACAACAACAAATACAGGTGAAGTCAGTCTGTGTTTCAGTAGCCTCTGCAACAACAGGACTCAACATATACAATGGGTAAAACAAGATTTTGAAATACAACCCAGCGAGCAACAACCAAATCACACTTGATGGGGAAGCTCTGGAAGATGTGGAAACGTCCAAATATCTGAGCAGCGGCATCGATAGGCAAGGAGGGTCTGATGCAGATATGAAGGCAAGGATTGGAGGAGCAAAGAGAAGCATTTCTATAACTGAAGAACAAATGAGCCCAAAATAACTTTCAGCCAATACCAAAGTCAGAATCTTTAATACAAACATCTAGATAGTTCTGTTGTACGGAGCTGGAACTTAAAGAACTACTACAATCATCAAAAAGTACAAGAATTTATAAATAATTGTATGCGCAAGATACTCCATATACGTAGGTCGGATATCATCAGCAACAACCTACTGAGGGAGAGAACAAACCAGGTTCCACCCGAACAATTTAGGAAAAGACGTTGGAGGTGGTTAGGACATAAATTGAGCGAATCATCAAATTGGATTACGAGGCAAGCGCTGACTTGGAATCCTGAAGGGAAAAAAGAGGAATATCAAGGAGCATATCGCTTCCGGAATCGGAAGCGAATATCAAAAGGATGAATAGCAACTGGAAAGGACTGAACAGGATTGCCCAAATCAGAGTTAGATGGAGAATCCTGGTCGGCGGCCCATGTCCCTCCTCGAAGGGTAATAGGCGTAAGTGAAGTGGAGAATCATATATATCAATAAATATTGGTTAACGTTTGACCTCATGATCACTCACCGTTTTAAGCAATCCCTGAAGTACAATTTCAGCTTTATGCAAATTTTGACTTTCGAAGTTTATATTACGATTAGTAGCAGTCCCAGAATTGACATGCCACCAAGTGACAAAATAGTCAATGTAGAGTGGAGCTAAATGATCTAAAATAGCTGATCGTGATGCTGGACATGTTTTCAAGAGCAAATTCACTGTCTCATTAAGACATTCCCACTCAACTGAAGATTTTTGAAAGGAATTCTGTGATGCAGGTGTAACACCACTGCTACCACTTCCACTCGAATTTGACGCCAAATAAGGCCCACTATTACCACCAACAGAAGTAGCAGGGGTAGAACAGGCTGATATAAATCGTTTCCAATGACTTACTAGTGAAGACATGTTACTTTGATGGCAAAATGAATATTTATATTCCCCTTCATAAAAAAGAAAACAGCAAGCAGACACTAACTGAACGGTTATAAAGTCAACAAAATTACAAAGAAGATGAAAATTTACAGAGAAAAAAGTGCATTTATTTTCACTTTGTTATGTACAACATATATATATATAATAAATTGCTTCTAGATCTTATTTTTATATATAACATGTACGAAACATTAAGTAAACTTTTAAAGTTCTTCGGCAGTATAGTACTCAGATCCAAATAACGATGTTACACATTCTTCAGGCAATACTGGCCTCAACATACATGACCACCTCTCATTACAATCGCCTACAGATTTAGTAAAAGCATTAGCAATATATAACTTTTTAAATTTAATTAAACGTTGATCTAATAATTCATTTAAATCATTGTTAGTAATTAGTTTTTGATGAATCATTTCCTCTTGCATACGATTTTCCGTTAAACTATCAAAAAACATTGAAGTGAATCCTAATGCATTTTGATCCTCATATTTTAATTTGTCACCTTGATCATAATCCCATATTGATTTTAAATCACTTAATAACCATTTTGAGTATTCCATTGAACTATTATTAAATGATTCTGATGTATTTAAGCGACGCTTTAAAGTGAAATAATCATTATTAGTAGTATTACTATCAGTGGTACTTTCCTCTCCAATAGACTCGTTATTCAATTTATTTGCAACACTTTGTCTCCGTTCAGAAACAATATTGTTTAGGTTTAAAGTGCCTGTATGATTTTTGAGCTCCGACTGTTTGTATAACTTTGCATTCTCTTCAGAATTTTTAACATGCTGTTTATTCTCAGGTTCGCAACTAAGTTCAGATAACCAATTTGTAATAATTGTTTGACTTTTGACTTGATAGCTTTCTACAATGTCATAATCATTAGTATTAATACCATCTGATGTCAGATAAGCACAATAATCGAATAGATCTCCATATGATGTGAGTAACAATGTATGAAATTGTTTTTTTGTATCATCTGGTGAATAATGTGTTGTAATTCCGCAAATAGAACTTTGTAAACGTCGCTTAAGCAGTGAATTTTGATTGTAGAATTGAAAGAGATCATTAGATCGAAATGATGAAACCAAACTTGTTAGTGGCGTCCCGGATAGACACGGGCCAATATACTGGGGACCTGAGAAAGAATTGAAATTCAATCCAAATGTAGACATATCTGCGGGGTATTGAGAAGTCATAGAAATAAGAAATTGTGGGATATCATGCGTTGAACGATAATGCTTATCTATTTCGGTCCAAGTAAGATACGCCAACGGTTTTGTAAGATTATGAGACCAATGTAATACAGTTCGATTAGGCATACGTTTATCCAGTAGAACCATACTATAGTAACCACCAGTTAAAACATATACATCACCGATCCACTTAGGTGGGGAATATGTTATATGATCATTTGAATTTAATAAAGACGAGCGTTCTGAAGTGTTGAACAGTTGGTAAGCACATGATGGTGCTGTACGGGTGTCAAAAATTAGGATACGACGTGTGGTTGTCAGACACAATTCACCCGGATAACTTCCAAATCCAACACGTAACCAATGATAGTTGGGATAATGCTGGTGTAAAAGATGTTTCCGTGATGTACATGTACAATAAGATTCAATATCTGATTGAACCGGATCTTGTTTATATGACGATGATGCTATACTTTCCAAACACAATGAGTTTTCCTTTGTTATATTTTCCATATAATTGCCTAGATTTACGTGACCAGACCACATAGGAAGTCGAGTATCTTCTGAATTATACAACCGAATACTAGCTCTACGATCCCTTTTTCCGTCCAGATAATTACCGACCATACACCATTCCCCTGGAATCCATCGACTCATGCATATACTAGTAACATAATTACTTGATGACATACGTATTAAACTAACGTTTTCAATACATGAGTTAGACATGTTCGGTTCGTTTATCTTAATTTGCATATGAACAACATTTGTCTTACTGCCCGGTGTTGGTAATAAACGACCGACTATATCGATTTTCTCACTTGACTCACTAAAAGATGCATCAAGCTCACAAAATGATCTAGATGAAAGTTTTGTCAATGGAATGGGAATAATTGAGAAACGATTTGGTTCATGAATATTAGTTTTCAACAGATTCGATGTTTTGCCAATACAGAAGGAATTTGTTTGAAGTGAATGCCATAAAAGTATGTCAGAATGATTTGTAGACGACTGATAGTTATGTGCCCTTACATTGCATAATAAACCATTCCCGAGATAATTCGGATTTACAATTCGACTTGCTAATCTGATAACTAATGGATCAAAAGATGCTAATAGCCTACTATAGTCAGATTCAAGTGTTAAATTATCTGACCCACACAATGTTGTCGATGATGACGATATGGATGAGGACAATGATGAATGAGCTGGATAGAGAAGTCTACCAATAGTACAAGGTAGTAACTGTTCTGATTTCCCAGATGCACTAATATCAACACCTTCACCAATTTCGACAGCGGTAGCCTTTGTCGCTTTTGATGGCTTTGTTGTTAGCCGGCGTCGTTTTGTTGACGGCTGGTTGTTACCAACAATAGCAGTCCCGGAGGTAGAATTTGGATTAAGTGAAGATAATAAAGATCCAGGAAAAGAATCTGTTGATTTTGTGCCTGAAACAATTAATTTTTGTATTCTTTTAATCAATTTATTCTGTGAATCGACTGAATCACAGTCATTCAATCCTTTTTCAGACATATCAAATAACTGTTCAATAAAATTATGTGAAATACTATTGTATTTTGCACCGGCGACAATAACATCATCATTTCTCCCATTGATATCATGACTGATTTGCATAAACTTGGAAATATTGGCACGTAATAACCCTTGGAGTTTACCACATAAAAATGCTGCACACGCCTGTTCACCTAGAATATAATCGTTCAACAACTGTTCATAACCGTAATCCCGAACAGTAGATGAATCGACCAGTTTTTTATTTTTTCCTCTTTCTTCTCCTTCGAGTTGTTGATCATAATTAAACGAAGATTTATTAGTTCCTGATAATGAATATGAGTAGTGTGTTGGTAATAAAGGAACAGGGTTATGAAAATATTGAAGTTTACCAACCAGCTTCGTGGACATTTGACTTTCAATCTAGATAAAGAGAATGTACATAAAAATATCACAAAATTGTCTGACCGTGATCACACATAAACAGGTATTCTAGACTGTATGCTTTACCGATTATTTGACATTACGAATGGATAAATGTTAGACCGCCATTGAAAACCTGGAAGCACTGGACGGCCGTTTCGTCCTAGGATGGGAACCGTGAGCAGTGCGCATCCGCGATCACGCACACAGGACTCGAACCCAGTCAGTCAAAACGTGTAAATATATGGGGAAATTGTACTCCTAGATATAATGTCTTGCTTTTATTTGTTTGGAAGAACCTTTTAAAGAATGAAATACTCAGAAAGTGTCGCGATTGATTTTATTTATTTGAACACATCAACACTGGTACGAAAAGGCACCAAACACACATGCGCCACACAATGACAATGAGGCCAGTAGTAGTTATCATTGATTTGTGTAAGAGCTGGGATACTACCCTGGTGCCCAAACCGAAGTAGGTGGTTTTCTTAGAAAGCTACGACCGGAGCCTTTGACCTGAAGGTCTAACCCACAAGGCAGTGAAGAAACGTAAGGAGATGCAGTCCCATGGTCGCCAGTGACCAACAATAGGTTCATATGTCATTTGTTCCCTCAGGATCCTGGAGTTCATGTGCACCACTGGTTTGGAATCAGGGTTTTTCAACTCCCATAGGTGGATCCTCTATATTCACCAACCCGGTTAACGTGCCGGACATTTGCCGGTGCTTTAACCGGGTTGGTGGCCATGGAAATATTATCAAAGACGTGTTTACCGAATTATAATTTAGAATAAAAGGTCTAATTAACACAGTATTTCCATTTCACGACAATCACCTATTACAGTGTCACATTTGAATCCGTTGTATTTGAAGGCATTGACAATGAACTTTATTGTATTTATAGTAATATTGATAAAAAAATTAAATGCTGTAAAATGTCTTGTACGTTAAATCCCTACTTACTCAATATTTATAGAGTCAACGAGATATCTATGAAGCTGATCAGCTTGATAAGAATATACATAAAGCACAAAATTATCCTGAGTATATCATTTACCAACTGCAGAACGCAATAAGTTACCTGGAATTTATCGGAGACATGACTTATGCTAACAGCACCAGTACGAGCCCAGTCGGCAACAAAAGAACGACCATAGCCATACATTTCCTGGTTAACAGGCGGTCTGTTGATATGATTGCAGCGGTGTGTATTTATATTCCACCATTCTGTATAGTATGCTCGGGGTACTGTGAAGTCCATTATGTAAACAATATATATTTTGCAAAGGTCGCCAAACCGTTATTTTTAGGTGGCTTGAAAAAAACACATTTAAGAAACCACGTATTGGCAAACCGTCAAGTTGATCTAAATAACAAAATGACAAGAAACCCAAAAAGATAACGCAAAAAGTATACAGGAAGCACTGACACGAGACGTTTCAAAACATGACTGCAAAACAACTTCAAATTTAGACCTGAAGACTGAGCGGAAGTGATCATATACACCAATTCGGTTTGGACGGTAGGGCTAAAAAAAGAAATGTAAAGCTGACGAGACGCTAGTCAATAGCGCCCAACGATGTCTTGGAGGATGGGCAGAGTTCCTAAAGAGACAGTTCATCTAGTCTGCAGCTCAAAACATCAGACTGTCTTATCCTCAACGGCCGGTGATGGCTGTTCTACCTGATGATGCCAAAGTCCGAAAGAAACTTCAACTTCCGAACCACCGTGAGTTACCAGGTTCACAGATCGTCCAAGACCCATGAAACATTGACTTGCAAGGAGTAGTCTGGAGTTCATTCTGGTCGTGGATTCATTGGTTATACATACATCCCCTACCAAATGTTAAAGCACAGCTATGCTGATTACAGGCCAACAACCATTTTGTTTTTTGATACCAGTCTCTCCACTGATTCGTTAAACAGAATAGCACTCTGGAATTGTCTGTTAAAGAAGGCTGTACATGAGAAGTTGATTAACATGTTGAACGCTATACGAACAAACACCTCAGCCAGAGTGGGAGCATGCGACCACTTCTTCTGTTCAAGCAGTTACATTAAGGAGGGTTGCTCAATCTCTTTATTCATCCTCAACTTCATTATTGATGACATTCTGGAAACATCTCTAGTGAAGATAAGTAATGATGGTGTGGAACTATTTCCTAGAGAAAGAATTTCCGATCTTCAACCATGATGATATTGTCTTACTGTGCGAAGATATTTAAGCCATCCAATCAGCACTTAATCAAGTGACAATCAGTGTTCGTAGGTATGGCATGTGCTTTGCGCCTTCTAAGTGCAAGTACTTTTGCAAGATAGACAGCCGCCTGTGTCTGCACTCAGTCCTATTGATAAACAATTAGAAGTAATCAGAAAGTTCGTGTATCTGATTAGTTGTGCGAGTGCTAGTAGTAGCGTGACTGGTGCGATCATTCTACGTATAATCACAACACCATGTTATTAATGCAGAGGTTTGGCAACGTATGTTCGGTCAAAATGACTTCAATTGGCTTCACCATCCTGAAACATCGACCACGATGGCTCGGACATTTGATACGAGTATCCAAACTGTGCTCTATTTCTAGGATGTTTGGACCCATTGAAAAAAGTGGAGAAGCGGTTGGTTTATGTGGTATGGTCCCGAGGTATGAAAGAGATCTGTACAGGATTGACATCTCTCAGTCCATCACAACCTCCTGGTTGGGGTCTGAGAGATGGTGCAACACAGTGGGTTAAGACGTTAGCAGATATGACTCACAATATAAGCCAGTAGCGGTTCTGAGGTAATTCCCTTCTACTTTTTCACAAAACAATGAAAGTGGCGTCACCTGGAAGGATTGTAATTCTAATCACGAACCTAAGTTAGACAACCACCGAAAACTTGGGAGCACCATATGAGCGTTTCGTTCTAGTATAGAACTCTGGAAGTGCGTATCCCTAGTTTTAGCAAGAAAATACTTAACCCCTAGACCCCTGAGTCGTGGTTCAATGATCTGCAAGTCTAACTTCAAGCTATTAGCGACATTGCGCGACCATCTTGCACTACCTTTTGCGTATACATTACTCACACTGGTCACAATTTCTCAATGAGGTGAAACGGCTGTTCAGTGCTCCCACGTTTTCAATAGTTGTCAAATTTAGATCGGTTAGTGGTCTCAATAGACATTCAACAATTGTCACTACACACTGAAAGAATTGCTTCTGGTTGTATTTTCTAATTAACCCGTCTCATCCAATATGTGAAACTATCAATTACGCGTCTCTAGATTCGCGGAAAAAGTCGTGTTGCCCTTAGATCTGAGAATATCATTCAACAACAATGAAAATAAACAACTTTTGAGAACTCTTTAAAGACCAATACGACACATATATTTTTATTGTATACTTGTTAAGTAGCTAAATCATGCATATTCATGTTCCTCCTATTATACGATTTATTTTGACCTATGAACTATTATTATGCGATTTACCGTTCTTGAGTTATGCTCAGTCTATTAATTAGTCTCCCACATTCACAGCCACTTTTGGCTACATCTTGTAGAAATGTTATTTTCTATTTTATGATACGATGTGGTGTGTTCGGTTTGGATATAAGCCCAGTATGTTCGAAATACATGATTCATACCGCAGAGGCTGAGATTGGTGTTCTGGACTCAACAGACAATAACAAATAAAAGGTTAAACTCTCATTTTCGCTTCCCAGCCGACAGACGTGAAATTGTGACAACCGTCAACCATATACTAAATTCATACAATTAAGTCACACTGTAAACATCAACATTGAAAACAACAAACCAAAGAAAACATAAACCATCCATGACAATATGACGAAATTATTGGCAAGGTCACTGCTCAGTCCTCAAGTGGTTCAAATGGTTGTTGACGAAATAGAAGATTTCGCTTAACGGGCTTTCGTGTCTAGTGGCAGTGGGTCGCTAATAACTCCAGACAAGAACCCAGGTGTATTATCGATAAAAGAGGAAAAAGAAAAATTGGTTAATCATAGTAAGATTCTATCCTTAGTCCTTAAGAATATGTCAAGTTTTCTCTTTAAAGACTCTTGGAAAGTCGCTTGGAATAGCTCAGCCAGCAGCGGATTCCAGCATTTGACAACTCTTAAGGAGTAGAAGTTGTGTCTACAGTCCGTTCTGCTGTGTTGTGTCTCCAGTTTCTGGGTGTTGCCCCTTAGGTTTGCGTTGGAGTTGAACTTAAGTAGCTGTTTAAGGGGATGTTCAGACGTGTTAATGATACTATAAGCCATTAGAAAGTCACCTCTGAGACACCTGTACTCTAATGCGTAAAGGTTCCGTGATTAAAGGCGCTCTGCATAAGACTTGAATTCGAGTCTCCGAACTGATTTCGTAACTCACAGTTGGATGCGCTCCAGGGTGTCCTCATCCTCTTGTAGTGAGGTAGGAAACACTATGCTTCTGTGCTCTAAATAGAGACGAAGTAAACTGTTGAAGATTGTGCGTAACGTTGTTCCATGAAACCGGCCAAAAATGTGCTTCAATGTTACCGGTGCAAGGTTCGCCCGAAAGGCATTTTGGTCACAGTTAGCATAAGATTTTAAATCGTAGGGTACCATTACTCGTAAATCTCTTTCAACTTGGGATACTTCTAGAGAGGAGTTTCCTAAATTGTAACCGTAGTCTGCAACATGTTTCAGGTGGACTACTTTACACTGTGAGGTGTTAAAGGTAAGTCTGTTGTCATCCGCCCAACTTTGAAGTCCAGTCAGATCCTCCAGAAGTGTCAGAATGTCCTCTTGGTTGAGTATCTCTCTCCAAAGTTTCACATCATCAGCAAAAAGCAATAAGTCAGATGGTATCTGCTGTGGAAAATCGTTCGTATAAATCAAGAAAAGAAGAGGTCCTAGTATAGAACCCTAGAGGACCCCACTAGGCCATTCTCTGGTCTGAGAGAAATTGAATTTAACCGTGACCTTAAAATGTCGATTTTTTTAGATATCAAATGAACCAATCAATTAGACATGATTTTGATGGCCAGTCGTTTGAGCTTATTAATTAGACATATATATGGTTGACCCTATCAAAAGCTTTTGAGAAGTCAAGTTAAATGACGTCAACCCTCCCCTTGCGATCAAGGATGGTTGTCCATCTGTCAGTCAGTGTCAGCAGGTTGGTTATACAAGAATGACCCCTCCTGGAACCATGTTGTTGGGTTGAAAAGAAGTTCAAGGAAAATAAGTAGTCGTGTATGCCGTCGCATATCAGGGACCCCATATTTTTTGAAGGTATGCAGAGAAGAGCCACCGGTCGGTAGCTTGAAGGTTCTTCACATCGTTCTCCTTTGAAAATTGGCGTGATGTGAGCCAGCTTCCAAATTTCCGGTAATGTGCCTCGACTTAGCGGGTGTGAGAACATCACACTGAGCGGTGTTGTCAGGATTGAATTTGCTACCCTCAGAATAGCAGAATGAACCATATCCGGACCTGGAGAACTGTCTTTTCTTAGGTGCTACAGTTTCCTAATATTCAGTCTAAGTGTGACGGCATCGGATTGTTTCTTTGACAAATCACCGTCTTCACATCTTCGAATAATCCCAGATCCTCAATGAGGTTAAAGAGCCAAGCTTCAGTAAGGTTTTCACCTCGAATGTACGTGTGTTCCGCGAAACTGACCTTAGAAAGATTGAAGTCTCTTAGAATCAGGATATGAGTGAATCTGTGACGAGTAGAGCGGGATAATCCTTCCAGCATACAATTGTCGTACTCGATGTCAGCGGTGGGCTTCCTGTAGATAGCTCCAACTAGACACCTCGAGGTGGTAGACAATCTTACTGAGCACCGTACGAATTCGTCAAGATAGATAAACTCTTGGTTGTGTACTTGATGTACCTCCAGGCATGATCGCAAGTATAAGGCTACTCCACCTACAATTCCTGTTTTTCTGTCATTGCGAAACAAAGGCATCCTGAGTATTGATAGCTCGTGGTTCGTAAACTGAGAAGACATCCAAGTTTCAGATGAGCATTATTAGCATTGGTGAATTCATACAACTCGTGCATTTTATTCGGTAAACTCGCGGCCTTCGTTTATAGGCAGTTTATGCTTTCAATTTGAAACGCGTAAGCTTCCCCGTCCTGTTCATCTGTATGAGTGTTGTGCGAATGGACGATTAATCTAGATACACAGGGCTTTCCGAGTTGATAGCCCCTGTCTTTTCCACCTTTATTTATGATCTAGACTGTCCATAAGTGAAATGGTCAGCTTCAACTTGCTCAGAATACGGTATATCAGGTAGTATTCTTACATTCAGAGCAGAGAAAATCAAGGCACAAGCTGAATACACAGAAGTAAACAACCAGGTAAAGAGAAGCCTCAGAACCGACAAACGTAAATATGTCGAGGATTTAGCAATGACGGCGGAAAGGCTGCAAGAGAAGTAAACATGAGACAATTGTATGAGACAACTAGAAACTCGCCGGAAATTATCATAAACCAGAACGACCGGTGAAAAGCAAGGAGGGAAAAGTAATCACCAACATCGAAGAACAGCGAAACAGGTGGGTAGAACACTTCAAAGAACTCTTGAATCGACCAGCTCCACTGAACCCTTTCAACATTGAAGTAACACCCATGGACCTCCCAATCGATGTTGGACCACCAAATCAGCACGGTCATCAGAAAAATCAAGAGCGGCAAATCAGCAGGACCAGACAACATTCCAACAGAGGCACTGAAAGCAGATGTAGCAGTAACTGTAAGGATACTCCGCATTCTCTCCAGCAAGATTTGGGATGAAGAACAAGTACCGACAGACAGCAAGTGTGAGAACTACAGGGGCATTATTCTTCTCTCAAAACCAGGAAAAGCCTTCAACAGGGTATTGTCAAACAGAATGAAGGACTCCGTAGACGCCCAAATTCGAGACCAACGGGCTGGATTCAGTAAGGAACGATCGTGTGCCGATCAAATTGCAACACTACGGATCATTGTGGAACAATCAATTGAATGGGACTCATCACTCTACATCAACTTGATTGACTACGAGAAAGCACTTGATAGCGTGGACAGGACAACGCTATGGAAGCTTCTTCGGCACTACGGTGTGCCTGAGAAGATAGTCAATATCATACGGAATTCCTGTGATGGATTAGACTGTAAAATCGTACATGTTGGACAGCTGACAGACTCGTTTGAGGTAAAGACCGGTGTCAGGCAAGGTTGCTTACTCTCACCCTTTCTTTTTCTTCTAGTGATCGACCGGATCATGAAGACGTCAACATCTGACGGGAAGCATGGGATACAGTGGACAGCTAGGATGCAGCTGGACGATCTACACTTCGCAGGTGATCTGGCTCTTCTATCGCACACGCAACAACAAATGCAGGAGAAGACGACCAGTGTAGCGGCAGCCTCAGCAACAGTAGGTCTCAACATAGATGAAGGGAAAAGCAAAATTCTCCAATACAACACAGCATGCAATAATCGAATCACAATTGACGGAGAGGATTTGGAAGATGTGAAAACCTTTACATATCTGTGCAGCATCATTGATGCACACGGTGGATTAGATTCAGATGCGCAGGAGCGGATCGGCAAAGCAAGAGCAGCTCATTTACAACTGAAGAACATCTGGAACTCAAAAAAACTGTCAACCAACACCAATGTAAGCATTTTCAATACAAATGTCAAGACCTTTCTACTGTATGGAGAGGAAACTTGAAGAACTACGAAAACCATCATTCAGAAGATACAAGTGTTTATTAACAGTTGTCTACGCAAAATACTTCACATCCGTTCGTCAGACACCATCAGCAACAAACTACCATGGGAGAGACCAAATCAGATCACAAAGGAGGAAATCAAAAAGAAGCTCTGGAAGTGGACAGGAAACACATTGAGGACAGCACCCAACTGAGTCACGAGGCAAGCCCCCACATGAAATCCTCAAGGCCAAAGGAGGAGGGGAAGACCGGAGAACACATTGCGTCGAGAAATTGAGACAGACATGAGAAAAATGAACGAAAATTGGATTTAACTGGAAAAGAAGGCACAGAACAGGGTGGGTTGGAGAATCCTGGTCAGCGGCCTATGCTTCATTAAGAGTAAAAGGCGTAACTAAGTAAGTATTCTTACATTCCCATCTGATTTCAGTGAGTGACTAGCCAGTAGGATATCCTCTACACCGGTAGCGTTGGTGATTGTTACACGAAGTGGCCTCGGGTGATTTTGATGCTTAGAGTTCTTTCCCCGAGTGAACCGTGTGACCGTCAAAGGCTCTATTTTGGATGTTTAAGCTTCTTGTTTAACTCTTCCCAGAGCAACCTGTTATGTTTGTCCCGCAAACTGAGGGGAAGGTCAGGGCTGTCTTTAAGGTGCATGATTATGAGAGAATCATCACAAACTATTATTGTTTTCCCAGGTTTACGTGTGCTTTCAGGTTGAGGATCTTGTTGTTTGGAGTTCAAAGCGCGTTTCCTATTCCTATACTCTTCGATGACCGGACGGACATTCTTGGGGGTATACCGTGCGGCCAAATCACCAGTTGATTTCCCTACAATACCCAGGATGTTCAGCTTCTCTGATTATGATACCTGGCCGTTTTTAACTTTGTCAATGTGGGTCCAATCATCTACAGAATTTTTGTGAACCACCGTTGCATTCGAGTTTACTGTGCTGGGAGACCCATGTCTGCTGATAAGTCTACTACCGTCGATATTATGATGATGCTGGGTTTCAGCATGTTATCACTAGCGATATTACGTGCTCCATCGATAGTTACGCTATCGAAATCGCTCTTCTTCATTTCCATTGAGCGTACTTGTTTGTCTGCCCGTTTTATGACTGTTTCTTCAAGTTTACTGACAACTTATTCAGCAGACCTGT